TATTCAAAGACTGTTTGAGATGAGAACAAACCACTACAATTTAAAAGAAACCTACATGTTTAAAAAACCCAGATTCAAACTTTCATTCTACTTTCTACATTTATATTGAGTTTATGTGTGTGTGGGGGGGAAATAGGGGCATGCATATTGTGATTTATGTGGACAAAAAAGCACTGAATAAATTGCATTGAATAAAAAAATAAATAAAAAAACAGATTCAGAACCAAGATTATGGAACGAAGCATCGCATAGTCTCGACAAAGAAATAAAAGAATCAAGTACAATGATGGCATTTAAAAAACACATAAAATCTAATGCAATGTGTATGTATGAAAAAGAAAACTAAGTTGTCTTGAAAAGGGAAAAAGGGGCAGAGAACATAAGACGATTCTTCTTTCTGCTCCTTTTCATTAATTTCTTGTCTGTTTGATGTTGTGACACTGTTGATGTCGTTTTATACTTTATGAATGAAATAAATAAACAAATAAATACAAATAAATAATTATTAATTTGAGCAGGTATCAATACTAACAAAAGAAATGAACCTTTCTAGAATGATCATGAGCTGTATCAGAACAAGTACAAGAGCACATAGACTAACACACACCCATGGACACTACCTGCACCACTGAAGGATTATACACATATAAGACCACACGCAGTGTTGGGAAGGTGACTTTTAAAATGTATTCCCCTACAGATTACAGATTACATACCCCAAAATGTAGTTTGTAACGTAATCTATTAAATTACTTAAAGTGAGTAAAGTAATCTGAATACTTTGGATTACTTGATTTGCTGTAGAGAAGCAAAGACGAGGAAATTGTAACATAAGATGTTTTATCTGCTAAAAGAAAATAAAAAGCCCAGACTTTACTGAACCAAATTAAAAATATTATTGATAGAAGAAGAGAAGACATGTCCACACAGCAGGATTTAGTCCTGGTTTAGACCTGGTTTAGACCTGGTTTAGTCCTGGCTATAGTCCTGGTTATAGTCCTGGTTTAGTCCTAGTTTAGTCCCAGTTTAGACCTGGTTTTAGTCCTGCTTTAGTCCTAGTTTAGACCTGGTTTAGACATGGATTAGACCTGGTTTTAGACCTGGTTTTAGACCTGGTTTAGTCCTAGTTTAGTCCTAGTTTAGTCCCAGTTTAGACCTGGTTTTAGTCCTGCTTTAGTCCTAGTTTAGACCTGGTTTAGACATGGATTAGACCTGGTTTTAGACCTGGTTTTAGTCCTGCTTTAGTCTTAGTTTAGACCTGGTTTAGACCTGGTTTAGACCTGGTTTAGACCTGGTTTAGACCTGGTTTAGACCTGGTTTAGTCCTGGTTTAGACCTGGTTTAGACCTGGTTTAGACCTGGTTTAGATCTGGTTTAGTGTCCAGCAATGAATGGAATTACCGGGGGAAAAAAAAAAAAAAAGGGATATAGCCCGAAATGTGAAAACAGGAAAATACCGCAGTGTAATCCATTTATTTCAACAAAGTAACTGTAATCCATTTACCACTCATTGAAACAGTAACTGTAACTGAATACAGTTACTCATAATTTGTACTCTGATTACGTAACTCCGGTACATGTAATCTGTTACTCCTCAACACTGACCACATGGGAATAGAAAAGAAAGTACACGGTTTTAATGTTTAATTTTTTTAACTCAGTATTGAAAATCGTGTCTATTCCTTAGTATCGAAATGGTGTTTGAAATTTTCATATCATGTCAACACTAACTCCTTCTTGTTAAAGTTTACTGAGACTGTAAATGTTTGTATTTTTGTATTTGAATGTGAAACAAATGAAGTGACGTGGCTGAAACGGGACACTCTCACTATCCTCTACTGTCCTTCACAATAAAACACCTGACACCTGGATGATTTACTATCAGACTCTTATTTTGAAAAGGTCTGAGTTTTGGTTGGAGTTTGTTCTCATAGTAACCTGCTCCTGGCCGTGAAACATGAGCTCATATTAAAGATTCAGAGTATTTCGTGGACAAGGAGTGAAGCATTGTGGGTAAACAAACACCTCCAATGGGACGTGACCCACATCTGCCCGTCACATCTCCAGGCTTTTGTTCAGGCCAGAGGAACATGTATTCATCATTTTAGACAATAGACTTCATTCAACCTTTAATATTCTACCCAGCTGACTTTGCAGAGGCTTCAAAGGTGCTGTACCTGTTTTTTTATTATTATAATTATTTGTTTTTTTACAATTTAAAAAACTTGAAAAACAGAAGTAGGTCATTGTAAACAGTTGTGTGGTGGTGGTGAAGTTATTTCTCACTGACCTTGTGTATTCAGAGCATCCTAAATATTCAATCATTTTATTAGAGCTTTTTACAACTTTCACTAGTGGAAACCAGTGTGACGTTTTGCCATCATGTTAAAGCTAAAAACAACTGGCATGCTAATGTGTACCTCCTGATTATTGGACAGTAAAGCCCTTTATAATTATCTCAAAAGCTGCCAATACAGTGCAGGTGTACTGTCTGTAAAAGTCTAAATCTGTCTGTAAATTTGGCTCAAATAATCAAAATGGTCCTCAAGGTGTGTGTAAAATCCCTCAGTCGTCCTGGTGCATGGCAAAAGGAGAAATTCAATTTGTGGAGTAGAAAAAAGGCAGAGTTTTGACTACTTAGGCTACATTCAGACTGCAGCCTGAAGTGACCCAAATTAGATTTTTTGGCTTCTATGTGACCTGTATCCGATCTTTTAATGACAGTCTGAATGACACAGATCAGATTTTTTCAATTGTGACCCAGGACACTTGGATATGTGCTCCTGAAACTGATACATATCTGATCTTTTGACATGCGTCTTCAGTGTGAACGGTCAAAGTGCATTCGTCCGACCTACACGTTATCAACAAGCCACAAACGTCACTATTCTGCGCTGAAGTAGGTGAAAATTGTTAATGAACTCTGTGTCACTGAAGTGAAGCACATCACCACTCACCACTCTTGGCTCCGTCTCCACATCCACACGTTCCTTTGCTGTCCCACAAAACACCACGACCAAAAACCTCGTCCTTCTCCTTCTCAATCTCCTCCTTAAAACAAGTAAGTTGTTCATGTTGTGGCTCCGGTACGAGAGGAACTTTAAAATCTCCAGGTGCTCGATGCTGCGTCCATGTTTGGACAACTTCTGTAAACACAGAGACGCTCGCTGTGGTTGACGTCGTCGTGTCTCCAGTGTCACATGTGGGACACTTTAGGGCCGTTTACTGTTCACACTGGAGTCACATACAAGTCACATTTAATTGGAAATGTGAACGACCTCACAAAAACATCGGATTTCACAAAAAAATCGGAATTGAGTGTTAAGCCCTGCAGACTGAACGTAGCCTTAGTCTTCACCAGGGCTGATTGAGTGAGCAGCAGGTGTGATCATTTATAGGGGTCATGACCCCAGACACATGATACTTAACAAACAAACAAAATATCATCATCATTACATGTCGAACCCAAGTATATTGACAACATACCATTCATAACACAACAGATAAACAACACTGTTCTGTATAAGTTAGAGTATAGTAAACATTACATATATCCCTTAGATTACACAGCACACTTCAAAAAATGTTTTCAATCAATTATCAAGAAGAAGAAAGAGAAATTCTATTTGTCAGCTGGACAAAAGTTTATTTGCATTCGAAAACGTTTCTCAGTTCATCCAAGCTGCTTCTTCAGTTGTGGTCAGACACTGGTGGACACTTCCTTATAACTGCATGAAGAGAGGAGTTAACTACACTGAAACTTCTCTGAAACTAACACCCTACTTATTTACTGTTTCAGTTAGTTAGGCCTATTGATCTTGCACTGAGTGTGGGGTCTTATTAACAGAATCATTTAAGCCCATAATGGAGCTTTCACACCTCTGGGCCTGACCTGACTATGTCTATTGTTTTCTTAGCTTGTTCTGGTTGAGGTTTAAGGATGTAAGGAGTTGTAAAATGGAGATAGATGATGCCTGAGGCCTCCATGTCTGGTCAAAGATGGATTCTCTTTCCTAACAACAATAGCCTCTTTAACTCTCCTCTCAAACCAATTCTTTTCTCTGACTCAGACATTGATTGATTGATTGCATTTATATAGCGCCTTTCAAGATCCCCAAAGCGCTTTACAGTTCATTATTCAGTCACTCCACACACTACTACTGTAGCCACAGCTGCCCTGGGGCAGACTGACAGAAGCGAGGCAGCCAATCTGCGCCATTGGCCCCTCCAACCCCCACCATCACTCACACACACACCACTTTCATACTAGGCAATGTGGGTGAAGTGTATTGCCTAAGGACACAACGACAGTGGCGCCCCACTGTGGCACCTGGAATTCCTAGTGATCTCCCATCCAAGTACTACCCAGGCCCAGCCTGCTGAGCTTCTGAGATCTGACGGGATCAGACTTTGACAAGGTGGTATGGCCACCATGACATGAACCTCACTGTCCTCAAAGAAGTGGCCCAAAGACTTTTAAGCAGAGATTTACAGCTTTTAGGTGGAGAGGTGTGGAAGACTGAGGTTCTTTTAGGTGGAGATGCACAGCAGACTGAGGTCCTGTGTTGCTCTCTCGTCTTTGTTGGTTCATTCTCTTGTGAAGTGTCTGTTTAGTTTCTCCAGTGTCGTGCTCACTGCAGTCTTCACTACACTGAATGGAGTAGACCACATTGCTCTGTTTGTGGCTCGGTGGTTTGTCCTTTGGGTGGAACAACTACATGTGCAAAAAAATCAGATGCAGGCCCTTTAACCTAATGTTTTAAATGGCTCTGTGTCATTTTGTAGGTGTTGTTTTGCCTAGAATGTTCCACAAAATAGTCACTCAGCAATCTCTATGGAGACAGGAAGGTGCCCCGTTTACTTTTGTGTGAGGCAAATTTGAGCACATTTCCAGGATTTATACATTACTGTTTCATTATTATTGTCATGGCGATAGTCAAAAGAAAAACTCAACTGAAAGAAATAAAACTATTTTCTTGTGTTTATATTTTGTCGTTATAGGAAATGCTGTTGGAGATCGAGCAGAAGGTTGGCCTCCTGTCCCCAGTCAACTCTGAACCCGGGTCAAAACTGCCCCTGCTGGACAACGGGTCAAATGCACCAACCTTTCCCCATCAAGAAGACAATGGTTTAACCCGATCCTATCAAGAAAACGGGTCAGCATCAGAGCGTGACCCCTCCCAGGATCATGGTTCAGTCCTGAGTCCGGCGCTCCCCTCTCCTCAGAACGGTTCGGTCCAGGCTCACCATGACGCCGCTGAGGTCCTGCTCCGGAGACTGGACCTTCTCAAGTCCAGTCTGGTCACGTTCCAAAGGCTTCTCCAGGAGCGTCAGGAAGACCACAGTCCCACACAGAGAGCAGAGCGCCCCCTACAGAGGAAACTCCGGCGCAGCAGCAGCGTCCAGGAAATCCTCTCCTCCCCAAGAAACAGACTTCTGAGACAGAGCAGCCTGCAGCAGCAGAAGGTACCAACTCCAAGTGATTTACTCTAAGACACAATCCTGTTTGGTACTGCAAGTTATATTAAAGCTACACTAAAGGTGCATTGTGTAACTTTTCAGGTGGAGGCTCCATCATGTACTTGTTTTTATGGAGATGTTGTTGCTCTGGAATGCATGACATTTAATAGCTCTGTCTTAAATTTATTCAATTATAGGTGGTTTTAGAGTTCAAAAATGCTCTCCACTTTATTCTGCATTATTTTTCTAGCACATTTCATAAACAAATTTGCTGCACAAATACATACTAATAACAACAATAATACAATGATAAAATAAATGCTCAGATTTAAACATACTAATCTTAAAACAATAAAACCAGTTAAATAAAATAAGAGCAAAACCATAGAATAGCAATAAATAATATATATGAAACCAATAAAATAAATGAAAAATAAATAAAATACACAGAGGAGCAAACAACTCACACTGTGTTAAAGCCAGAGAATAAAAGAGGGTCTTAAGACGAGACTTGAAACTCTCCACAGTGGAGCTGTTGGGATGTGGGAGGGGCACAAGGTCACAGCGAAAGTCCTGTCCTCCTGGTTTTAAGTCTGGTTTAGGCCCCATGCGCCGGAGCTGGACCTTGGACCTCAAAGCGCACAGGGGAGTAAATCTGGATGAGGTCCCAGACGTATTATCGGGCCAGTCCATTCAAAGCTTTAAAACCAAACAATAAAATCTTGAAATGAGTTCTAATATTAACAGGAAGTCAGTGCAAATCACAGGGATTGGGGAAACGTGCTCTCTTCTGTTGGTTCCTGTTAAAAGTCGTGCTGCAGAGTTTTGGACTAACTGTAGTAGATAAAGTACACATCGTGAGATGCCAGAATAAAAAGCGTTACAGTAGTCCAAGTAGGATGAAATAAAATTGTGCACAATTTGTTCAAAAAGTTTAAAAGATAAAAAAGATTTAACTTTGGATAAAAGCAGCAAATGATAAAAACATGATTTTAAAATAACTTTGATTTGTTTGTCAAATTTAAAATCACTGTCTAAGGTGACGCCAAGGTTGGTGATGTAGAAAAACAGACATTCTGACAGTGAGTGAGGTCGCCTCTCCACAGATCTGACCTGTAATGTGATCTGGTTTGGCCTCAATGAAGATAGAAAGGTTTAATGCCGTACTGTGAAACATTCCAGACAAAGAAATAACATCTCCATGAAGAAAAGCATTTGATGGACCCTCTGCCAGAAAAGTGATACAATGCACCTTAAATATTAACTTCAAAGATGCTTAATATATCTTGACTTTTGTACCATTTAACACTAAAAATAGTCCAAAGTCTGAGAGAGGATTGGCTGAAGACTCCATTAAAAAGACTCGAGTTGATCAGTGAGGATTAAACAGGACTGAATCTCTGTCAATTACACAGCTTTTTCTCTTTTCCTTGTGTTCAGGAGTTGGAGCAGGAGCTGGAGGAGCAGAGAGGACTGACCCAGGCTCTGTCCAGACACAGCAGCAGAACCAGACTCCAGGAGCCCCAGGAGCACGAGGAGAACAGGTACAAGATGAAATTCCCAGATTATTTTCCCAGATTATTCCTCAAAAACTAATAACATGTAAATCAAATGTTCCAGACCTTTACTTTACCTTTACAGTTACTCTTACTTGACCAGTAGTTTCCCCAAATACTTTTTACTTTTACTCAAGTAACTTCTTGAACCACTACTTTGTACTTCTACTTGAGTAATATTATGAAGTAATGGTACTTCACTAATCTCTGACAAATAATAAGTACAGATTTTTTGCTTCCAGTTTGAACAAATTTAGGATTTTTTTACTAGTCTTGTCATTAAAGGTGCAGGTAGGTATGTAACTTTTTGTTTGGGGGTCCGTCACCTGCTTGCACTGTTGGAAAGGTGACTTTTAAACTGTATTCCCCTACAGATTACAGATTACATATCCCAAAATGTAGTTTGTAACATAATCCATTAAATTAAATAATAAATTAAAGTGAGTAACGTAATCTGAATACTTTGGATTACTTGATATTGTCATGTTTTTTTAAAACGACATGAATGTAACATCCACATCCTGAACATTCTTGTTTGTTCTCTTCAAATTGTCTGTTGAGCCCAAGTCTCCATGAATAAACAACTGTTTGCTGTAGAGAAGCAAAGATGAGGAAATCTGAACATGAGATGTTTTGTCTGTTAAAAGACAATAAAAAGCCCAGACTTTACTGAACCATATTGAAAAAATATGATTGATAGAGAAATGCTTTCTATATGAGATCACTGGTTTTAGTCCTGGTTTTAGTCCTGGTTTAGTCCTGGTTTAGTCCTGGACTGGTTTAGTCCTGGTTTTAGTCTTGGTGTTAGTTCTGGTTTAGAGGCTCACAGGAGGAAGTGCGGTTTATGCAGCGAGAAAACACGATCCACACGCGGCGCACGGGAGGACAGCAGTGTCCACGCAGTAACTACGGAGACGTGGTCCGCGCGTTCTCAGGTTAATGACGATGATGAAGGTGTGTGTGTGTGTGTGTGTGTGTGTGTGTGTTTGTGTGTGTGTGTGTGTGTGTGTGTGTGTGTGTGTGTGTGTGTGTGTGTGTGTGTGTGTGTGTGTGTGTGTGTGTGTGTGTGTGTGTGTGTGTGTGTGTGTGTGTGTGTGTGTGTGTGTGTGTGTGTGTTTGTGTATAGGACAGTAGTGCAGTTATTATGAGCCTATACAGTTTGTTTTCATCAGTGCCAGTAGCTCCGGTTTGACATTCAAGTTGGAGGTGATTTTGTATTTGTTATTTTCTTTTATATTTCACGTCGGTAGAAGAATTTCCAAGACACAAATGTGTTTTTCCCTGTGCACTGCTGCTCTGTTCTACTGGCTCTTCCACCTCGTCCATTGTGCGACTGACGCCGCCAACGTTAACATGACGTTTCCATCGCTCTTACTGTCGCGTTCTGTTTGGTTTCCGGCAATGAGTGGATTTACCAAAATAAAATAAAATAAATAAATGGGATGTAGCACAAAATGTGAAAACAGGAAAATACCACCTTGTAATCCACTTATTTCATCAAAGTAACTGTAATCCAATTACCACTCATTGAAACAGTAAGTGTAACCGAATACAGTTACTCAAAATTTGTACTCTGATCACATAACGCCAGTACATGTAATCTGTTACTCCTCAACACTGCCTGCTTGTTTCTATGGAGATGTCATTGTTCTGCCTGGAATGTTCCACAGTGTGACATTAAACAGCTCTACCTTACATTTATTCAATTACAGGAGGTTTTAGTGCAAAAATACCTCGAAAACCAGACATTCTGACTGTGAGCACTGAGCAGGGTCGCCTCTCCACAGATCTGACCTTTAACTTGAACTTGGTCTGGTTTGGTCTCCATGAAGATTGCAAGGTTTAATGCCATACTGTGAAACATTCCAGATTAAGAAATAACATCTCCACGGAGAAAAGCAACTGACAGATCTTCCACCAGAAATATTTACACAGTGCACCTATATGTAATCTCTTGGACCACTACTTTGTACTTCTACTTGAGTAAAGTTATTTTGAAGTTACGTTACTCTTGTTTTAGTCAATTTTTTTGTTGCTTTCTTACATGATAACAAAGTTGTTATAATGCGTCTTAAAACTGCTCTAACCACCGCCTTCCTCTCTCCTCCAGGGCCCATCCCGCTCTCTCCTCCCCAGACCCGGGCCTCCTAAAGTGGGATAGACTCCACGCCGCGCTGCATTCTCTGGAGCTCACCCTCCATCTGCCCCCCTCCCAGGTACCGCCGCCCCCTAGTGTTCAAGGACTTCATTATCACTCCACAAATACTAGAAACCCACACCAAAGTACAGTACTGCTTCCATTACCACCTCCTTTGAGCCGCACAGACCCAGTTTGTCATTGTGGAGATGGGTGTCCTGTGGAGCCTGATAAGTCCAGTGTAAAGGTGTATTTTTTGGGTGATTTTTTTGTGTTTTTCTCATCTTGTGAAGGTGGCAGACGCTTCCATAAGACACGGTGATGAAGCAGCGGGGAGTGTGATTGGAGAACAAGCCCAAAAAGAGCTCCAAAATCTGGTCCAACTCACGAGAGAGCTGGGGGAGAGGAGCGCGCTGGGGAGTGGCCAGGTGAGGGCGCTGGTGTAGTGTGGGTTTTGCAAAGGATGAAACACAATGTCATTTGAGTATGAATTACAAAAGTAGGTTTACCAAATCATTTTTGTATGAGTGTAACTGTGGTTTAATTCTTCATTCTTCATAAAAAAAAATCCACTGTAGTGATTGTTATAGTTTAAAGGCCCACTATGTAACCTTTCTGATGAGGTCTGCTACAGTATGGAATTCAATTAAACACACTTAAAGCATGCACTCTTTCTGTATTCTGATTGACTGACATTCTTGATAAAGCAATAATATTTCCATGGAGATAAGCAAGTGAAAACTTACACAGTGCACCTTTAATTAGTGGTCATCTTTTTTATAATTCAGACACAACTGTTGGTTTTAGCTACTGAAATACATAAAGCATTGGTTTTCAAATAGTCTACTACCACATAAAATGATGTTTTTAACGTTGCCTCATTATTAAGAATCCACTGTAACAAATGACACTAAAATGAAACGTGTAAGAGTACACCTCCTAGGACTCGAGCTCTTTCATGGCTTTATTGATTTTTCTTTGTTATTTGGGCTGATTGGAACCTGATGAGGGCAAAAACAAAGAATTATATTTTTACATGATGTAGTTTCTGAAAAAAAAAAATGTATGTTCATTTGTGATATATAAAACATTCATTTTATGTTTTAATAATTCTTATGGAACACAATAAAGTCACAACTGAATAATGATTTGAAAAAACTATGTATTAAGTGCCTCAACAACCCAGATTGTGTTGGACATAATTGTGTGGACACCAGGTCCTAGGAGGCGACTGGTGCACTGTGTAACATTTCTAGTGAAGAGTTCAACACCTGATGTCTCTGTGGAAATATTATTGCTTTGTTTAGAAAGTTCCACATCCATCCATTTTCTTCCACTTTTCCTGGGCCAGGTCGCGGGGCAGCAGTCTCAGCAGGGACTCCCACACTTCCTTCTACAGTAATAGAATAATCGAAGTACCGTATTTTCCGGGGAATTACCACGGTCTCAATCCAGAGCGCCCTATACATGAATCCACTCAGGTGTCCCAGCACGACTTCAGTAAACTACAAAGCCGCACCACCCGCAGAACACACAAACACACACCCACAGACACACTCATCACTCCACGCCGACGAGGAACGGAACAGAAGAACGAACTGAAAAAGCGAGTGCAATGTGCCACTTCTAGACACAACTGAACAACTGAGTCACTGTGAACACGCCGACAATCCGTTGGTCCCAGACACACCCTCCCTACACGCCACAACTGAACAAAGCCCAGAGTCACCGTGAACGCGCAGTGTGGTTTGTTTGTGAAAAAAGTTTGAAAATAGACCATTTAATGACAGTGCGTCTTATAATCCAGAGCACCTAATCATCCAGTAAAATACGGTAATGTTCCACAGTGCAGATTAAACCTGTCACAGATTACTAGCACTACACGACATTACAGTTCAGATCTGTGGAGAGTCGACCTCTATATGTAGATGGAATGACTGTATTTTTGAGCATTAGAAACACCTGCAATGAATAAATGCCAGATGGAAATGTTTAAAGTCATACCATGTAATGTTTTAGACCACAGGTGTCAAACATTTGGCCCGGGGGCCAGATCCGGCCCTCCAAGACCTTTAATCTGGCCCTCGGCTGATTTTCTACTAAAAATATTTTAATTTATATTTTTTATTAAAATATTGTTAATTTTCTCTGGTGTTTATCACAGCAGCGTCTCCAGCGTCTCTGTACGTGGCCCCTCCCACCAGAGCAGCACAAATGAAGACTTGTCTCTTTCCAAACGCTCTTAAAGGACGATCGTTTTGACTGTTGACCGTGACACCCTCATCAGAAAAATGTCCAACATGAGAAAAGTGGAGCAGAGTGCAGGATTTTACAACAAAAAATTTACTTATTCCTGTTTACAGACAAGTTCATGTTAAAATATTGTGTTGAAATTGCATTTTTCTTAAAGTTTCAGGTTGTTCATAATATTATAATATTTTGTAAAAGAAAGAGTTCATCAATTAAAAAAAGATTTCTGTAATAGATTTGTGTTTCTCTGCACAAATATTTGAACTTATTGTTATTTTTGGGGTTTATATGACATGAGTTTTCTGATTCGACCCCTTTACGGGATCAAAGTCGGTTGGATACGGCCCCCGGACCAAAATGAGTTTGACACCCCTGTTTTAGACAAAGAAATAACATCTCCATGGAGACAAGCAAGTAGCAGAAAAGTTGCGTTGTGCATCTTTAATGTAAAAAATACTCCAGCTGAAGTGTTCTTGTTCTAGACTTTATTGACGTGATGAGACTGTAACTGTAACTTCAGTTCTTCTCTCTTGTTTCAGGATGTGAGTCCTCAGTCTGTGGAGGAGGGTGCGTTTCATTTACTGAGCGGTGTGTCCCTGTCTCTGTCCACTCTGTCCAACCTGCTGCTGTCTCCTGTTGGTGTTTACACTGAAGAGGAGGGAAAACAAGAACTTCTTCAACTACAGGTGGGACTTTGAATAGACCAAACCTCAACAACTCTGTATTTATTTTTTTCTGAGGCCCAATAAAAGTAATATCATTCAACTTCTGTTGATAATTTCTGATCATAAGTTGTGCCAGCATTTGTTTCTTATGGATAAGGAAATATTATACAAAACTTATTTGAGTTTTCTACCATGTTGTAATGGTCCAATGATCAAAAACATGCCTGAACAGGTTTTAGGTGTCATTCATACATGTTTGATTAATTTAGCAATCTCTTTCAGGCCTTATTCAGACGCTTCTTAAGTTTAGTTGCAAAATCCTGTAGAAAGCTTCACCCACAACTCTATGTCACCACAATTCTCCATAAATATACAGAAACATGATACAAAACTGTGAGAACAACTTCACAAACTTGACATGATGTGCAGGAGTTTCACTACTCTGAAGGGGGAGTGATTTAGCATGGAGAGCAAAGGGAGGTGAGATGCAAAAACAAAACGGAAACTTATAAAACATGTTAATATTTAGTTTTTGGTGAATATAGCACAAGAATAAAAGGTAACATGGTGATCTAAACATGTGATGTAATAGTCGTTAATACACCACAGAAGTAAAATCTTCTCTTTAATTATGGACAATGTGAACCAGGTACATGTTTAGGCCCCTGACTTCACACAAAAGTTTGTATTTAGACATGTTGTGATAGTGTATGTTTTTCTTCCAGGGTGTGTCTTCAGAGCTGGATTCTCTGAGCAGAGCGCTGGAGTCCGAGGGGTCAAAGTTCACGTGTTCCCTGGGGTCACGCAGAGGTCACGAGTGTGTGCAGACGGTGGTGAGGATCCTCCCTGTGATTCAAACAGGTCTGACCCAGAGAGAGGGAGCAGTGAGGAAACTACAGGAGGAGACAACTACAGCCCAGGTGAGGGACAACACAAGAACTGAGCACAGATAACTTCCTCTGAAACTCAGTTTATTACTATTCAAAGTGATTCTATTCCTTATTACTGTAATTTACTAGTTAATCATTTACTGGCTTGTGACGGCACATCAAAAACGTAATTTAAAAAGAGTTTATGGAAATGTTAGATATTTGATGGTTATGTCATTCAGTTATTGGATGTTTCATTGTATTTTAATCCACGTTTGAATACAGTTTTGATTACAGTTTTTTTTTAAGTAATCCACTGCTACAATGTCAAATTTGATGCTGAAGGTTTTAATATATGTTTTTTTTCGGTTTCTTCGTGCACCTACTTTTTTTTTTTGGTACCCTCATTTATCGTTGTATGTTATATTTTCAAAATAAAATAAATAATACAGTTCAGGAACCAACCAAAAAGTCTTACCACTAATTAAACTTCCTGTTATTTAACCTTATTTGAAATAAACAGCAGCACATTCTTCTATGAATCACAGTTGTTTTGGTTCATAGTTTCAACAAATCTGTTTCAACTAATCTTTTTATCTTTTTTTTTTTTTTTTAACTTTGTTTTTATTAGGACATTTTAGTTATGTATTTCACATATTACATATTTACATACACAAATTATTAGTATTGTGAAACAAAATAAATCAAAAGATCGACCAAAAAAGGAAAAATAAAAAAAATAAATAGAAATAAAATACGAGGCCATCAAGCTAGTGACATCTGCAAATTTGTATAAAACATTTTTACATAAAGTTTTGTTTTGACTATAAGATTTCCACTTTTTCCAGTATAGTTCTGCTTTGTCTGAGGAGGGTCTTAAAGAAAATGTTATTCGTTCCATAATCTGAATTTCGTTGATTATATCAATCTTTTTATCTTTTTTAATGTTTTACATCACAGTTCAATGGATGAAACTAATTTTTGGCCTATAACTTAAACTTCTTCTTCTAAATTGTAGATTAGATTACTGTGTTACTAATAGTGTCATAATACAAATAAACTAACTGAAATAATGATAAAGACGCAAAAATCTAGATTTTCAGTTTAAACTTTTTTTTAAATATACATTTTAATTCAAGCTATCAATTCTGTATCCCAACACATTATGGCATGGTGTTGTCTGTGTCTAACAGAACCTTCTGAAAGAGTTGCATGCAGCCTTCACTTCTAACCAACTCACTGTTCACCAAATAACACACGGAGCAGAGCCGCCCAGCCTCACTCACACTGTGCAGGTACAGACTTGAGACATGTTCATTTCCTCATCAAAACCATCAGATCATTGACCCTGTTTCTTACACCTCCTTTTACCTCGTGTCTCTCAGGTCCAGTCTTCTCTGCAGCTCCAGTCTGAGGAGTTAAAGTCTCTGCTGCAGAACCAGACTCTGCCCCAGTCTGTGCTCCACCAGGCCTCACAGCTGCAGGTACCAGGACTTTATTTATTTATTTATTTATTTATTTATTTATTTATTTATGCTGTATTAGATCTTATTTTAAATAACCTATATTTACTCTGTTTTCAGATCTATGTTATAAATTTGTTTCTTCATCACAAACAGACCTGGAGTTGTGTTTTGTTTCATTCACACAAACCCTGAATATTTAGTTTTTCACTCAAACAGTAAACACTGTTCCACCTTGTGATGTCATGTATAATCACTGTTGGGCAAGTAACTTTAAAACTGTCATGAGTTATTTATGACGTGTTTCTGTCATTTCAAAGTCATTTGTTACATTACAATATTACTGCATTTAAAATGTAAGACATTACATTACTTTTGCATTAGTCACTTACTCTCTCCAAAATCACTGCTGAACGTCTGCGCCGTATATGGACTGAACCAGGATTAAACCAGGACTAAACCAAAACTAAACCAGGTCTAAATCAAAACTAAACTAGGTCTAAACTAGGATTAAACCAGGTCTAAACCAGGTCTAAACCAGGACCAAACCAGGTCTAAAACTAGGACTAAACCAGGACTAAACCAGGACCTAAAACCAGGTCTAAACCAGGACTAAACCAGGAAGAAACCAGGACTAATTTTGGACTAGAACTTGGAAGCTCCTTGTAGACAGGGTGTCTGTAAGGCGCGATCAGGTGTCACCTGCGTTTAGCTCTGTGGAGCGTGGAGTCCTGCGCTGGTCCTTTCGCCCGCGGTCACCTGACGGTCTACGCGGGCGCACCTCCGACGTTTCACTGCTGCTGATGTCATGGTGATTTTAGCGAATTTGCATGAAGAAAAACCCACCACTTCAATCCAGGTTAAAAAAGCTTTGTAACACGTGTTACTGACATTTGTACTGAGTAAAATATTACAATTTTTCCCCCTGTAATTCCTTACATTACTGCGTTACAGCAAAAAGCAACGGATTACAGTAATTAGTTACTTTTATAACGCGTTACTCTCAACACTGTGTATAATACAAGAAGTGCTCCACTGAGTTTTTAAATTCCATACATCTTCAGTAGAACCATTTGTACAATTTCAGTCCTGATAAAGAGCTTTGGAGATGTAGACAGACTAATAATAAAGAGTTACTCAAACATGTGTGAATGAAACACAACTCCAAGTCTGTTTTTGAGGAGGTAACAACTTTATAAGACGCCTTGAAGCTCACAAGAGTCAATTTTGTGTAATAAAGACCCATTAAAGAGACTAGCAGAGTGTTCTTGGCTCCGCTTTCACATTTTGCCTTGTGTTTTTGCGTGTTCAGGAGGAGCTGGACAGCGCGTTGCTCGGAGTCTCGTCTCGTTTCGTGGACTTGAAGAGCAGCTCAGATCTTCAGCAGATGTTTGACCATCTGCTCTTCAGCCTCAGAGAGCTCCTGTCTGCTGGATCTGAGAGAGTTCACCTCCTCCAGACCAGAAACATCTCACTGCAGAGCAAAGAACAGCTCCAGGAACACATCAAGAGCAATACGGTCAGTGAAAGAAGTTCTACAGACACGAGTAGACAGGTGCAGAGCCAGAGGAGAAGAGCCAGAGGAGCAGACAGGAGGGGGAGTGAATGTGTGGGTAGAATGATGTTTAGAACTTCCAGGAAAAGAGGAGGCCTAGAGGAAGACCAAAAAGAAGATTTATGGATACAGTGAAATAAAACCTGAAACTGGTGTGAAATCAGAAGATGCAGAGGAGTTCAAATAGAGCAGAAGATGCAGAGAATAAAGTCAGATGCAGCAGAGGAGCAGAGGAGGAGGTCAGATAGAGCAACTTGTTGTATTATCAGTGTTGGGGAGGAACAGATTACATGTACTGGAGTTATGTAATCAGAGTACAAATTATGAGTAACTGTATTCAGTTACACTTACTGTTTAAGTGAGTGGTAATTGGATTACAGTTACTTTGTTGAAGTAAATGGATTACACAGAGGTATTTTCCTGTTTTTACATTTTAGGCTATATCCCATGGTATGTATATATATATTTTTTTTTTCGGTAATACCACTCATTGCCGGACACTAAACCAGGTCTAAACCCAGTTCCAAACCAGGTCTAAAACCAGGTCTAAACTAGGTCTAAACTAGGTCTAAACTAGGTCTAAACCAGGACTAAAACCAGGTCTAAAACCAGGACTAAAACCAGGTCTAAAACCAGTTCCAAACCAGGTCTAAAATCAGGTCTAAACTAGTTTCAAACTAGGACTAAAATCAGGTCTAAACTAGGTCTAAACCAGGACTAAAGCCAGGTCTAAAACCAGGTCTAAAACCAGGACTAAAACCAGGTCTAAAACCAGGTCTAAAACCAGGTCTAAAACCAGGTCCAAACCAGGTCTAAAACCAGGTCCAATCTAGGTCTAAACCAGGTCTAAAACCAGGTCTAAAACCAGGTCTAAACCAGGACTAAACTAAGACTAAACCAGGTCTAGACTATGTCTCAAACAGGATTTAACAGGACTAAACCATGCTCTTCTTCTATCAATAATATTTTTAATTTGGTTCAGTAAAGTCTGGGCTTTTTATTTTCTTTTAACAGACAAAACATCTTATGTTACGATATCCTCGTCTTTGCTTCTCTAATAATCCAAAGTATTCAGATTACGTTACTCACTTTAAGTAATTTAATGGATTACATTACAAACTACATTTTGGTGTATGTAATCTGTAATCTGTAGGGGAATACATTTGAAAAGTCACCTTCCCAACACTGTGTATTATTCACTTATTTAAATTCTGTCAAATAATCAGTTTTCTTTCTTTCTTTTTTCCACATTTAGAAATTCTTCCAGTTCCTACACCAGCATTTTCAGACCCTGCACTTCCTGTCTCAGAGATTCCCAGAAAACTCCCAACAAAGTGTGGAAAACCTGAAGGAGGAGGTGATCCAACTCCAGGAGCTCGGGCTGGAGATCGGGACCAAGATGGAGCTCACACTGCAGGTACACTATTCCATTTAATATTACAACAGTGACTATGTTTACACACACACCAAAGTCTGATCATAATCTGATTTGTGGAGTTATCAGATTATGAAATGTCATGTGAACAGTTCCATCTGATGGGAGTAATCAGATTTCTTTGACTGTTCACACCTGTGCAGAGCAATTATGCCAAAAAGGACAAACTACTGTGGAAAAGACAAAAATGAAATAAAAAATGTTAAAGATGGAAAGAGTTATTTTAAAATTCATTAGACTGTCTTCCAAATACAACTGTTTAAAAATCCCCTGATTCACTGACACGTGTCATCAGGTGTTTTCTGATGATCAGATTTCTCTTCAAAATCAGACTAAACTAGAAAAGCACTCAGAGAGCGCAGACCTCCGCCAAGGACTACCCCCATTTTTTATATAAATTGCAATAAAATCAGTCTTCTGGATCAGATCCGGATCAGCCTTTGGAATATGAAAGAGGATCCCATTGTCCATCCCTGAGTCAAATTTCATGGGGTTTGGTCAATAATTAACCCAGATATTGAGAAACAAAATGTTTGGCCCCATTTACCACAATGTTAACTAAAATTTCAAAGTGATCCAGAATCCAGGATTTCTTCCGGATCACCCCCAAAATGAAATCAGTTCTTCCTTTTCACATTTCCAACAAATCCTGAAAATTTCATCAAAATCGGTCCATAACTTTTTGGGTTATGTTGCTAACAGACAGACAAACAAACAAACAGACAAACAAACAAACAAACTAACAGACAAACAAACAAACTAACAAACTAACAGACAAACAAACAACAGACAAACGCCGGCAAAAACATAACCTCCTTGGCGGAGGTAATTATTGGCTTGTCTCTTTATTGTAGTTATTATCTGTTTTTTACTCCTATATTCTGCTCTGTTATAAAAACAGTAACATGTTCTCAAAGATGTAGAGTTTTATTTGTTTAGTTTATTTAAATGTAATTAGTAGAACTTTCTTTTTTGATTGGGTCAGGGTTGTCAAAGTGAACCAGCTGCAGAGTAATTTGGCAGTTTTTTTTATGCACTATGATATGAAGCAGTTCAAATGAGGTTTAAAACAATAGCTGTTAGTTTTGAGGTTGGTTGTTGTTTTTTATAGTGTATAGTGTCTTTTATAGTGAAATTAATTTGAAAACCAAAAATGATCAGGACCAGTTTGATAAATACTGTAGTCTCCTAGGACCTGGCGTCCACACATGTGGACATACATGTTTAACACAATCTGGGTTGTTCAGAAACTTAGTAAAACAATAAATAGATTCTACAAATCATTATTCAAGTGTTACTTTATTGTGTTCCATCAAAATGATTAAAACATAAAATAAATGTTTTATATATCATATGTGGACATATAAATATAAAAATATCATAAAAAATATAATTGTTTGTTTTTGCACTGATCAGGTCCCAATCAGCCCAAATAACAAAGAGCCAAAAAATAAAGCCATGCAAGAGTTCAGGTCCTGGGTTAAAACACAAGGGAGCCCTGCACTGGACACTTAATGACATGATTGTAAAAGAAACTCATTTATCCTCCATGTACATCTCTCAATTTAACATTGACTCACTGGTGCTATAGGTCAGTTTCAGCTGACGTCATTGTTATTAAAAGCCCGTGTTGCATGCTGGGAAATATTTTGGTTGGAGGCAAGAAACACGATAGCGTCAAAACACAGTGTGTAACCTCACGTGTATTTATCCCTGATAATGGTAAATTCCTGCTGCATTATCGGATGCACAAATAGAAGCACAGAAGAAGGAAAATGTCTTTTTCATATTCTGAGTGAAAAGAACCACTAACGGTGAATTAAACGACTTTCAAACATCCACAGAGCAAACGTAGAAGATCCTAACAAACCGTGGACTCCAACAAGTTCAACAACACATCAAGACTCTTGGAGGTTTTCATCTTTTCTGCTGTGAATGACCCAGGAGTTTCCACCAAGTCATTGTGGATATCACCAAAGTGAATATTTGTCCAGGTAGTTGGTGATTCTGACCAGAACTTTGGTTTGGTTTGGGTCCTCTGCCGTTAGAGTGGATAAATAACCAGGATCAATTCCCTTTACGTGCTTTCTCGCTCCGTCCGTCATGTTGAATTAGTGTTTCTTGCTGCCGACCAAAATAATTCCCAGCATGCAACACGCGCTGAAGTCAACAATCAAACTGGCCTACAGTAACACCATCATCTTCACTTGGCAGACCACTGGCACCATTATTTAAATTGTGGCATATTTCTGTCTAACTGGTGCCTACTGGTCTTCAGAGTCTCAGCACTTACTTTATAAACCTCCTCTTCTGGAAGCTCAATCAAGGAGCTTGAACACTCAAAGATCAGACTATGTTCACTTTTGAAATCACACTATGTTGACTTTTCCCGTCCCCCCGGGCTCGTATTATTGATGGTAAATAAACTTCTCCTGCGTAAAACGACCATTTGTTCTCCAGCCTTTTACTTCCACTCTTTATTGGACAAGCTGAAAACTTCAACAGTCATGAGGTTTTACATTTTTAGAGACAGACTAAATGATTGACAGTGTTGGGAAGGTGACTTTTAAAATGTATTCCCCTACAGATTACAGATTACATACCCCAAAATGTAGTTTGTAACATAATCCATTAAATTACTTAAAGTGAGTAAAGTAATCTGAATACTTTGGATTACTTGATTTTCTGTAGAGAAGCAAAGACGAGGATATTGTAACATAAGAAGTTTTATCTGCTAAAAGAAAATAAAAAACCCAGACTTTACTGAACCAAATTAAAAATATTATTGATAGAAGAAGAGGAGACACGGTCCGAGCAGCAGGATTTAGTCCTGTTAAATCCTGTTTAGTCCTGGTTTAGTCCTGGTTTAGACCTGGTTTAGACCTGGTTTAGACTTGGTTTAGACCTCGTTTAGACCTGGTTTGGACCTGGTTTTAATCCTGGTATAGTCCTGGTTTAGATTTGGTTTAGACCTGGTTTTAATCCTGGTTTAGACCTGGTTTAGTCCTGGTTTAAATCCTGGTTTATCCTGGTTTAGACCTGGTTTTAGAAGTAGTTTAGTGTCCGGCAATGAGTGGAATTACCAAGAAAAAAAAAAAGGGATACAGCCCAAAATATGAAAACAGGAAAAAACCTCTGTGTAATCCATTTATTTCAACAAAGTAACTGTAATCCAATTACCACTCACTGAAACAGTAACTGTAACCGAATACAGTTACTCATAATTTGTACTCTTATGTAACTCCGGTACATGTAATCTGTTACTCCCCAACACTGATGATTGGATTAGTCAAACATACATAAATGAAATGTATTTTTTGTAATGAGGAAACAGGATTATTACATGAAGAAGAGTAAACTGGTGCATCTTAATTTCGACCCTTCCTATTTTCCCTGTAGGAAACCTGGATATTGCTCTGTCAAATAAGATGTGAAGAGCTAATATGACAAATAACGACCCTCGAGTCAGTTAATACGACTTTGATTAAAACCCTGTGTGTGTCATTACTGCAGCGGTGGACTGAGTGGGAGCAGGACTGTGATTGGATGGACTCCCTGCTGAGAAACACCGAGACTTCGTTTCCCATCATGCCTCAGGAGTGGGACTCAGACGAGCACATAGCGAACTACCTCTCCATCTACCAGGTATTATCACTATTAATACATCTGACGTGATCGTGGAGAGGATTCTGACCGACGTGAACAGAGGAGGAACAATGGATGAACGGTGCAGAAGAGGGACGATGAATATATGGTGCAGAGGAGATGAAGAGAGGGTCAGAGGAGCAGAAGATGCAGAAGCGAGGGTCAGAGGAGCAGAGGAGAGGGTCAGAGGAGAAGAGGAGAGGGTCTGATGGAGCAGAAGACCAGAGGAGAGGGTCCGATGGAGCGGAGGAGATAGTCAGATGGAGCAGAGGAGGAGAGGAACAGAGAAGTGGAACAGAGGAGCAGAGGAGAAGGTCTGATGGAGCAAAGGAGATGGTCAAAGGAGTAGAAGAGAGGACGAGAGGGTCAGATGGAGCAGAGGAGAGATGAGAGAAGAGGAGCAGAGGAGAGGGTCAAAGGAGCAGAAGAGCAGAAGAGACGGTCAGATGTTGCAAAGGAGAAGGTCTGATGGAGCAGAGGAGAGGGTCAGAGGAGAGGGTCAGAGGAGAGGGTCAGAGGAGAGGGTCAGGGAACCAGAGGAGCAGAGGAGAGGATTAAATGGAGCAGAGGAGCAGAGGATGCATTGTAATAATATTTTTTTTGCAGGACATATTGAACGTTGTGGGTGAAAGCTCTTGTCGCGTGTCTCGTCTGCTGAAGTCGGGCTCGGAGCTGCAGATCTGTGGAGGTGGGGGAGTGGACTCTGTCTGCAGGAAAATGAACTCGAGATGGAAAAATCTGACACAAAGAGTGGACCGTGAACGCAACACAGTGCTCAAAATCACTCAGCTCAGGAGAAGGTCAGAGAGACTTTCTGTACAATTTTTCTTTCACCTCTTATAAAATGTCTAAGTGCAGTTTTGAAGTGAAATTCTGATTCAGCATACAAAAAAAGATTTATTTTTGTATTTAGTCCACTGAGGTAATTCCTTTATGCATTTAATTTGACCAATAAATCAATATGTAACCAAATATTTACTATAATTATGGTCCAATATGGATTTTTTGAGCTGATACAGTATAAGTTATAGTTCACAAATTAACTTTTTACAAATACTTGTTATAAATTAATTATTAGGTTTGACCATGTGAAGACATTTATAACTTTTCAAATGTGAATAAAATGTTTTTATGATTTTTATTTGTAGGTTTGTGCGTGACTCGGCTGCACTCGCTGAATGGATGGGCGGGGCTAGAGACATGATTGACAAGCAGCAGGCCCTTCTCTCGGCCAATGAGGAGGAAGATACTTGTGTCAGAAGAACCCATTTTCTACAAATTCTGGTGAGTGTTAATAGTGAATATAATAATCATTTGCCTTATTTTCTGCACTATAAGACGCTCTGGATTACAAGGCGCACTGTCATTGAATGGTCTGTTTTTGAACTTTTTTCACATATAAACCGCACCGGTCTATAAGACGCATTAAACAAAACACAACAGTTAAATAAGTCAGTCAAAAAAAAACTGTCTGAGATGCTAAATTGTTCGTGTATTCACAATAAGTCATAATAGTTCTAACAGTTGCACATCCCTCTCGTCTTTATCTGAGTCAGTGTGGTTACTGTTCCCTGGAGTTCAGTTCAGTGATGATTCTGGTCTTGGTAAAAGCTCGGACCACAGTTGATCCTGATCTTTAGCCCGGGCGTCCATGATCCGTTGGCAGATCGTGGTGTAAGTGGCTCGGCGCTGTCTCTCTGTCTTGGTGAATGTGTGTTTCTTCTCTCATCCACTGCTCCCACGCAGCTCCCACTTTCACTTTAGAACAGTCTTGAGTTTAAAGTGGGTGTTGTGAGCGTGTCTCTTGACAGGTGCATTTTGATATTAAAAGAATCACAGTATGTATTAGGGATGGGCATGATTAGTCGATTAATCGATAATTGATCATTAAGAATTTCATCAATTATGTTCATTTTAATCGACAAACCGACTGTAGCTTGCTGTGCGTAGTGTAGAGTGACCAAACGTCCGTGTCCGGGGACAAGGGGGGGTCTGTACATGTGTCTCTGCATCAGAAGGAGCGAGACACAAACAGTGGGTCAGTCTGCAACGTACCGAAGCACAAATGTGGATTTAACGATGACTTGAAATTCCACACTTTTTGTTCCAGTCGGGACAAGTGTGAGTCCATGTGCACAGTGTACAAAGCAGCACATATGTGTCGGTGTCCAGTGGGAAAAAGCTCATCAGGACACCAAAAACATGAAAAAGCTTTACCAGGTGAGAGTTGCTCAATGTCGATGACGAGGCCCCACCTCGTGTCCTGGTTTTGACAAACACAAATCTGGTCACACTAACCTGTATTCACCTGAGTCGTGCCGCATCAGTGCACAAGAGCTGTTTTTTTTCCCTTCCCTTAGTTTATGCAAATGAGTCATGTGGTTTTAAGTTTTGTTTTTGTGAGACTTGTGCAAAGCTGCATTAAACACATTCTAATCTCAAACGGGCTGATGTGGCTCTAGAGCAGGGGTGTCAAACTCATTTTGGTCCAAGGGCCGTATCCAACCTATTTTGATCCCAAAGGGGCCGGATCAGTAAACTCATGTCATATAAACCTCAAAAATAACAATAAATTCAAATATTTGTACAGAGAAACACAAGTCTATTACAGAAATCTTTTTTAATTGATGAACTCTTTCTTTCACCAAATATTATTATATTATGAACAACCTGAAACTTTAAGAAAAATACAATTTCAACAGAAACTTTTTACATGAACTTGTATGCAAACAGGAATTCAAATTTTCTTGGAAAATCCTGCACTCAGCGTCCACTTTTCTCATTTTCAACATTTTTCTGATGAGGGTGTCACGGTCAACAGTCAAAACGATCGTCCTATAAGAGCGTTTGGAAAGAGACACATCTTCATTTGTGCTGCTCTGGTGGGAGGGGCCACGTACAGAGACGCTGGAGACGCTGCTATGCTCAGCACTGCAGAAAATTACCAATATTTTAAAAGAAAATATAATTAAAATATTTTAGTAGAAAATCAGGCGAGGGCCACATTAAAGGTCTTGGAGGGCCGGATTTGGCCCCCGGGCCATATGTTTGACACCTGTGCTCTAGAGTGTTTATGTTTATATGTCTTAAAGTTGAATTTATTTATGCAGATTAGTAGTGCAGATAGTAATAATAATGATGATCATTTTAATATAAAAACATTAATGATAATGATAATTGATAATCGATCGTTAATTCTCCCGATGATCGATTAAGAAAATTTTATCGAATGCCCATCCCTAATATGTATTACTCCTGATGCTCCTGACTGCGGGAGCCGTAATGCTGCAAGTGGAGCGGCTTTGTACTTTACTAAAGTCGTACTCAGACACCCCAATAAATTCATATATAAGGCGTCTGGATTATAAGGCGCACACTCTTTTTTGGATGAAATTAAAGGCTTTTAAGTGCACCCTATAGTGCGGAAAATATGGTACATTATATTTAGTTACATTTTAAAGGAGTTTGCGGTCGTCCAAAGTTCTTCTCACTGACCTTTTGCATTCAGAGCTTCCTCATTATTCACCACGATGAGTGTATAAGGGCTTTTCACATCTTGCAGAGACCACAGTGGAGTTTTTCCAGCTAACAACAACTAGCATGCTAATACATACTTCCTGATTCTTGGATGATGAAACACTTTACAATTAGATGCAGACAGTACACAGTGGACTTATTTTTTATATTTTAAAATTTTGCTCAAATAGATGGGGAGAATCTGGTACAGGGACTTAAATGTTATTGTTTGGGAATTTAAAAATAATTTCCAACACATTATTGTACATCAATATATTGTTTTTTGTTTGTTAGAATTTGTCCAAGGAGCTTGAGTCCAGAGCCGGTCTGAGAGCTGCAGTGAAGACCTCAGGATCCCAGCTGCTCCAGATCCAAAACCCAGACTTAGACCAAGACTTGGACCAGGATTTGGACAAAGACCAGGACACAGAGAAAGACCCAGGTCCAAACTCGGTCTGGTCCAGAGTCAGACAGATGGAGCTGCAGTGGTCCAGTCTGAGGGCGGAGGTGCCGGCTCTACTGCAAGTACTGCACAAGGTACAAATGATTTAATAAATAATAAATAAAAAATTAATAATAAGGATTACACAGATACAAGAGCACATGGAAATAGAAAATAAAGTCCTATGATTTAATATTGAAAATCACAACCCCCTTTGTGTATTACTACTACGAATGTGCTCTTATACTTGTTCTGGTAGAGCTGAAGATCATTCTAAATCTATTCAAGTAAGGTTCACTTCTGTCCTGTTACTTTTTTTTTTCCATTAAAGTTCATTGGAAACAAAGGAAAAAAATATATTGTACACAGACACAGCACGTCACTTATCGCCCCCTTTTCCTTTTCTAAATGTAAACAAAGTCACTGTACATATATATTATATTACACAAATGATTAACTTGAAGAAAAAAAAAGCTTGGTAATAATAAAAGTAATAATAACAAAACAAGAATATATATATATATATATATATATATATATATATATATATATATATATATATATATATATATATATATATATATATATATATAAGCCATCATCTTGTAATACACTTATTTCCAGCAGACAGTAGTATGTTATAAATATATTTTTTCTTATGATCTATAAGATGGGCAGACTTTATCCCAAGGTACTGTGTCTCAAAATTGTGTGGTAAAGTAACAGAGAGAACTTTTTCAATCCTGCTCCTAACTGTGAAATTTCTGGGCATTCCCAAAGTATGTGGTAATGACCGGCGCTCGCTGTCCCACACTCTCTCCAACAGGAGGTATCCCTCCCCACAGCAGCACCCTGTGAAGGCACCCTAAAAATACATATCACATTCTTCCAGACAAATTCTCTCCAGGTGATGGATGCTCTGCACTTCACATTATTCTACAAAACCTCTTCTCACTCTTCTAGTCACAACCTAAACCCTTCTTCTTTTTCCCATTTTTCCTTAACATCACTGACCCCACTGCACTGTATCTCAGTATAAAGTTTAGAAATAACTTTTCATCTCTGTATGCTTTTAGAAAAAGTCCAGTTATACCTGAAGGGAGTTTGGTTTGTGTTTTAATATTCTCTAAATAATGACCAACCCATACAAATCCTTATTATCTCAATTGTATGTGTTCTTAAGGTTCTGGAACGTTTTTAATATTCCCCTTATTGTCCAGCAGAAGTCCTGTTACTTTTTAGTATCAATACCTGCTCAAATGAATCTCTAATTTCAATATTAATTTCAGTATTGATTAGTCTCTGAACCCTAAATTCTACAAACGTGACAAAAGCTTTATGTGACAATATGAAATGATTTGAACATTTGTGTTTCTTGCTCCGCTCCTTCAGATCTGATTTAGTTTGTCTCATTTTTTGTGTCTGTGCTGAAACATAAAAGCTTTCACAACCAAAATAAAAACACAGACAAATATGTGTGACAAATCCATTTATAACAGAATCCTTTCAGCTCGATCGTGACTCGAAACGCACTCGAAAAAAAGTCCATTCTTTTCCTAGCCCTCCATCGCGGATCAGACGTTCAGTTTAAATGAAATAACACAACTTTAATCCAGTGTGAGAGCTGCTGTATTTTTGCCTTTAATTACACTGGTCACAGCCTCTTGTCACAGTGAAACCCCCCGTCTCCCCGTCTCTCCCTCTGCTCCTCTCGGCTGATTCAGATCCTCTCCTCCACATACAGAAGTCCTTTGTCACAGCTCTTTTCAGACGACTCCCCCTCTTACTCTATCATGTGTTTCTATTTTCTATTTATTATTATTTTGTAGCATCTAAAGTCTTGTCTCTCTAAAGTGTCAACAAGTACTAGTATGAGCAAACACCAAAAGCACGATTTATATTCTGTAGTAGTCTGGGATGTAAAAAATACACTTTGTGGTTGCAAGACTTATACTTTGTGGGAGCTCTGTTAGTATTTTCCATAGACTGTGTACATATAAATGGACATAACTAACCTGCTAGTGGCCACATTGATTATTTGATTATTTATTTGAATTTGAATTTATTTGTTTGGAGGATAAGCCCCTTGAGATGTGTGACCATGTCGTTTTCAAGGGGGTCCTCATTAGGGATGGGCATGATTAGTCGATTAATCGATAATCGATCATTTTAATTGACAAACCGAATGTAGTTTGCTGTGTGTAGTGTGACCAAACAGGTGTGTACATGTGTCTCTGCATCAGAAGGAGCGAGACACAAACAGTGGGTCAGTCTGCAACGTACTGAGGTGCAAATGCGAACGATGTGCAACGATGATTTGTACAAGAAATTCCACGCTTTCCGTTCGGGACAAGTGTGAGTCCATGTGCACAGTGTATAAAGCAGCACATATGTTTCTGTGTCCAGTGGGAAAAAGTTTTACCAGGTGAGAGTCGCACAATGTGGATGACGAGTCCCCACCTCCCTCCCCCCGTACAGTGTCCTGGTTTTGACAAACACAAATCTGGTCACACTAACCTGTATTCACCTGAGTCATGTCTTTTAATCTGACAGAAGTTGAACCACATCAGCGACACAAGAGCTGGAGTTTTATCTTCGCTGAGTTTATGCAAATTAGTGATGTGGTTTTAAGTTTTGTTTCTGTGAGAGTTGAACAAAACTGAATTAAACACATTATAATGTCAAACGGGCTGATGTGGCTCTAGAGTCGTTACGGTTTATATGTCGTAAAGTTGAATTTATTTATGCAGATTAGTAGTGCAGATAGTAATAATAATGATGATCATTTTAATATAAAAAGGTTAATGATTAATCGATAATCGATCATTAATTCTTCCGACGATCGATTAAGAACATTTCACCGAATGCCCATCCCTAGTTCTCATAAATACAACAACAAAAGACAGATACAGTCGGGCAGATAGTAGGAGACATAAATTCAAATAAGCATCAAAACAACAAAATCAACACAACCACAAACACACACACACACACACGCTTGACTGTTTCACACATAATAAAACAAATTTGAAAGAGAAAAAATAAAAATAAAAATAATAATAATAATAAATAATAATAATAATAAACAGAGTTCAAAGATAATCACAGGATACAACAAGATAAACAACAAAATTCAACAAAAGAATCAAAAACAATGACATGGGTTCTGTAAATATTGAACCAGAGCATTTTTAAATGAAGGGACAGAAGTTAAAGCTCGAATCGATGAGGGAAGATTGTTCCAATCAGAAGCAGCTTTATATTTAAATGAGTATTTTCCAATTAGTTTTTTGACTCTTGGGACAACAACTATAAGAGGATCTGAATGGAATTAAATACTGTTTAAGATCTTCAGGAAAACTGAGATTAATACATTTAAAAATAAAATAATAACCAGTGAAGTTGACGTCGGGAGGACAGATGAAGCCAGGACAGTTGGTGATACATGGTACAGTGGTGAGTTCTGAAGGGACAGTGGAGAATGAATCTGCACAGACTGTTCTAGAAAACATTGAGTGGTTGGAGGATAGAAGTTGTAGTATTTTGATAAATGATTTCGCAGTCATCTAAAATGGGAAGAATTAGTTGTGAAATAATCTTTTTCCTAACAGAAAAGCTAAAGCAACTGATGGACTGATAAAGTAATTTTAAGCGATATGGAATTTAGTTTATAATAGTTTGTATGTGGTATTTATTTGGGTCACAGGTATATTTTGACATTAATTCACAGACAGTCATATTTAACATACACAGACCGAAAAGGTGTCGGCTGAAGCTGAAGCTTATCATGCCTTTAACCTTTATTCCTTTGTCAGAGTGTCATCTTAACACCAGTTCATCTTTATAAATACAGCAAGAGGAAACAAACAAATCAGAAACAGTACAACAGTACTACAGCACAAACTGAGTATCATATTTCATGTATCTGTCCAGAGTTAAACATTTAAACTTCTTTATAAAGTAAAGTAAAGAGACTGGTGCACGTTCCAAATAGGAAGTGAACAGGGGGCTCTTCTGGCTCCATCGACTCAATTGACTTTACATTGAAAAATTGTCTCCCCTCTCTCTGTAACTGCTGCAGTGAGCCTCAACATTTTGGTTTTAAAATAGGCAGATGCTATTTGCACCCATTGTTGTTCACACACAGGGCAAATAGCCATTGTTGTTATTTACACCCAGGTATTTATCATGGCACATAGAAGGGCACCCGGGTGTTCGCAGTAGGGATGGGCATGATTAGTCGATTAATGGATAATTGATCATTAAGAATTTCATTGATTACGTTCATTTTTAAAGGACAAACCGAATGTAGGTTGCTGTGCGTAGCGTAGGGCGACCAGAGGTCCATGTCCGGGGACAAACAGGGTCTGTACATGTGTCTCTGCACTCAGAAGGAGCGAGACACAAACAGTCAGTCAGTCTGCAACGTGCCTGAAGCACAAATGCTTATTTAACGATGATTTGTACAAGAAATTCCACGCTTTCCGTTCCGGTCGGGACAAGTGTGAGTCCATGTGCACAGTGTATAAAGCAGCACATATGTTATATGTTACACTAACCTGTATTCCACTGAGTCATGTCTTTTAATCCAACAGAAGTTGACCACATGAGCGCACAAGAACAGTTTTTTTTTTTCTTCACTTAGTTTATGCAAATTAGCCATGCGATTTTAAGTTTTGTTTCTGTGAAAGTTGCGCAAAATTAAATTAAACACATTATAATGTCAAACGGGCTGATGTGGCTCTAGAGTGGTTACGGTTTATATGTCATAAAGTTGAATTTATTTATGCAGATTAGTAGTGCAGATAGTAATAATAATGATGATCATTTTAATATAAAAACGTTAATGATTAATCAATAATCGATCGTTAATTCTTCCGTCGATCGATTAAGAAAATTTCATCAAATGCCCATCCCTAGTTTGTAGACAAAAATGCTATTTACATCCAGGTTATTTAATAAAAAAAAATAATAATAATTAAAAAAAAAAAAATTAAAAGAAGAAAAAATAACTCACTGTCAGTACAAACATAAAGGAGCCAGCCCAGTGAAAATCGGTAATATTTGATGTTTTTTTAAACTCAAAATGATGCAGAATCATCAATCAATCACAGTCTGCACCTAATGGTTTAGTCCTGGTTAAATCCTGTTTTAGTCCTGTTTTAGTCCTGGTTTAGAACTGGTTTTAGTCATCCTTTTACATCGCACAAGCTAAATAAAGTGCCCATGATGCTGTGATGTTTTCAACTTAATTACCCAAATAGTAATAGTCGGACAGGCATCGCAAATATATTTTGTAGCAACACTGATTTACCTTTTACTTTACCTTATCTTAATTTTTTTTTATTTTTTATTCTTTTGGATTCTCAAATCCAGCTTCCTGCACTTTTCACAGGAAACAACGTAAGCAGACACGTCACCTTTCCCTTTTTTTTTTAAATGGGTGTAAATAAAAGAATCGTGTCCATTGAACTATTAACACCAGGATGCAAATAGACACTCTGTCTAAAATATTCAGATTAACCCATTCTACATGATCCTTGTGTTCACTATTTTGTCTGTTAATTAATTCCTATTCCTTATTATATTATATTGTATATTATAACTGCCAGCCTTGGTGAGCTTCATTTGACTGGAGCAGTTTATGGTATTTTCTCACACACATATCGGCTCAAATGTTGGTATCAGTACTTGTATGCACATTCGAATGGGATTACATATGTGATGAGTGATTCACATTTTCTTTTCTTTTTCCTTTTTTCAGCGCTGGTTGCAGTCGCTGACACAGCAGGGGGCGCTACAGGAGCTGCAGTCCTGGCTCAGTGCTGCAGAATCTAAACTGAATGAGCAAAGTAACATCCACCAGACGAACCCTGAGCTAAGCCTCCTTCTTAGAACCTGCAAGGTAAAGTTTAGATTAAAGTCTCCTACAGGCATGAGAGTAAAACGCAGATATTGGCTCAAATTTTGGTATCAGTACTTGTACGCAAAGATCTAATTATTATTAAGGCCTATTTATTAACAACATAGACTGTATTTATAAGTGGACATAGCTAAACTAATAGCGACTGTGTGCTCCCTCATATTTTTAAAGGATTTCCAGAAGGAGATGGCAGCTCATCAGGCCACTCTGGACGTGATAAACCAGCCTCTGCAGACGTGTAGTACCACAGAGGACCACGAGGGGCGCTGTGAGAGGAACCAGTTTTCAGAGGAACAGGGTCGACTCCACCAGCGCTGGATCAGCCTGCAGCACAGGCTCATGTCTCAGGTACAACCAGGATTTAAAGGGACCATATTACACTATTTTCTGATCTATGTGATAATGTTTCCTCATCACAAACACACCTGGACTTGTGTTTTGTTTCATTCACATGTTAAACACACAAACCCTGCACATTTAGACTTAGAGTTCTTCTCTTGAACTGAAAACACTCTGATCTACATTGCGACATGTGGTGATCACCGTGTTTTTAAACTCCATACACCTTCACTAGCATCATTTGGTGATGTTAACTTGGAAACTACTGCTTCGTGACATCACAAGATGCATTTTGAAACATTTTGCATTTTGGAGATGTAGACAGACTAAGAATAAAGAGTTGCTCAAACATGTGTGAATGAAACAAAACACAACTCCAGGTCTGATTTTGAGGTAACAACATTCTAACATGACTTAAAACTCACAAGAGTCAAACATGTTACATCAGGGGTCTCCAACCTTTTGCTTCTGGTGAGCTCCCTTTACAAAACAAAAATGTCAGAGAGCTACTAATTTTCACAGTTGCAAGAAATTGAGTGGATATAAGAGTGGAAGCCTTAGATGGTACAGCTACAGCCTATAAAACATAACACCATTATCCATTTATTAGAGCACAAAATTCAAAATAACACATAAATGGTAATAATGGTCAAATGTGAGTTATTCAGTGCAGTATGTATGATTCAGAAATCCTTTTGTAAAGGGGTGGAGAGCTACTGGGAGCTCCTGAGCTACAGGTTAGAGTCCCTTGTGTTACATGATACATTATATGGTTCACATCATGTGTGAAATGTTCTGATTTCCAGGTGAGTTCTGTGGAGCAGGAGCAGAGGCTGAGGACAGAGGCAGAGTCTTGTTTACAGAAGCTCCACAGCTGGATCCAGGAGCAGAACATCTGGATGGAATCAACCCAAAGACCTCACAGTGTGGAGCAGATACAGAGGAGCCTCACACTCACTCAGGTCAGACACACTGCAGTATCCAGAGTTTAAAGTGCTTCTAATATCACTTGGTTTGGTGGGATAATGCCTGGATAGGTTAAAGCTAACATCTGTAAGATCAAAAACAATAAACCATACCAAGACCATAGACTGTATAAAGAACTGGACTAAGGGAGTGTGACGTCACCCAGAGCTGTCGACTCCAGCAGTTATAGGAGTCAATTTGAAGCCGGTTCCATATTAGGAAACTGAATTTATTTGCCAACAAAATGGCAAAATAAAATCACCAAGATCATATAGAGCGGCTTAATATGAACATTTTAAAACCAAAATGTCAAGGCTCTCAGCAGCACGTACAGACAAAGGGGTGACAATTTTCAATGTAAAGTCAATTGGAGCCAGAGTTGATGGAGCCGGAAAAGCGTAAATACGGCAGCTAGCGGGTCAACTATGTCCATATATATATATATATATATATATATATATATATATACACTCTATGGTTGAGACTCACCTGTGCTCTCTGGTCTTCTTCTGACACACTGTCAGACTCCTGCACTGTAAACAGCACCTAGTGGTGATATGTGAGAATACAACAGGGGCGGGTCAGCCAGTCTAATAGGAGGGTTTCAGTCATGTGATCACGATGATGCGCGAATTTCAGGTGGAGGGCAGGAAGTGAAGACAAACACGACAAACACGGCTCTGGAGAACACAGATATGGAGAAGAGTTCTTATTGTAAGGATTTAGAGCCAGTAGCAAGACAAAAGTATGAGCAGTTAGTCGACAAATATATTGGGCTTGACCCTGATCTTATTGAAAATGAGAGAATTTTCAACCGAAGTAAAAGATTTGCCGACAATCGAGGCAGAGGAGATCACGAACTATTTAGCTCTTCAGACATCGTTCTACACCAGACAACAGATGAAGGTGTACAAAAGTTTGGAGGCATATCACTTTTTTGTCAGTGGATGGATCCTCAACCTTGGTGCAAAACGCCTAAATGATGATTATGGTTTGGTCTTTGCCGGGGGGAGTGTTTCTCTTATTTTATGTGTATAGACGTTATGGGAAAAACTGCAGTGTATCGGCAGTTGTTCTGTCGGCTTTTCCCATTTCTGAACTTTGTGGACGACTATATTCGGTACTCTAAAATAATCGCTTTTCCTTCTCTCGGTTAGAACGATTGGCACAGCCGTGCGCGCTGACAAACGTAGCCCTGTGACGTCACGTGAAACCCAGATATTACAGATGGTCACATTAAGTTGCTGTTTGTGGAAAAAAAAAAGTTGAAAAGAAAAATACAGAAATATTGGAAGTAGCACTTCATCTTAAAAAGGAATCCCTCTACCTTTCTGTTCAAATAGTTTGGAATGGATGCAAGGAAGGCATTTTTGTGATTAAACATTCAATTAAAAAAATAAAAGAGTCTAATCAGAAGATATTTGTGTATAACTATTGTGTAATTCATAATAATATTTCAGTTGTACAGAGACACAGTTTGGTCTTTGCTCTTTGTCAGACAATATTTTGGGTTCTGTTTGTTTTAGGAGCTGGAGCAGAAGATACAGCTACACTCTGAGGCTCTACAGGAATTTAAAAAGAAATTTCAAAATAAAACAGGAAGCAGCATCTGTGAAATCATCTCTCAGATTGAAAACACTTCTCTGGACTGTGACAACCTCAAACTAAAGGTAATGAAATAATAAATAATAAGAGTTGTCTCAATGTGTGTGTTTTATATATTTGATTATCTGCGTTTGTACAGTAATGTTTAGATCTGTGTTTCTCAAACTGTTGTACGTGAGCTGCTTCTGGTGGTGCTCGGATTCTGTTTCAGTTCAAATATTTGTTCTCTTACTCTAGGGTTATTTCTTACGTAAACTTGTGAAACCAGCTTTAAATCATTGCTACCTTCTCAAAAACATACAGTGGTGTTTTGTTTCATTCACACATGTTTGAGTAACTCTTTATTATTAGTTTGTCTACATCTCCAAAGCTCAAAATGCTTTGTTCCACCTTGTGATGTCATGAAGTGGTAGTTTTCAAGTTAACAGCTACTGTATGTTTAGTAGAGATTGACAATTCCAGAGCTGAAATCATCCAGCTGATTCTAGTGAAGGTGTATGGAGTTTAAAACCACAGTGGAGTATTTACTGTACAACCAGATGACCAGTGTTGGGGAGTAACAGATTACATGTACCAGAGTTATGTAATCAGAGTACAAATTATGAGTAACTGTATTCAGTTACAGTTACTGTTTCAGTGAGTGGTAATTGGATTACAGTTACTTTGCTGAAATAAATTAATTACACAGAGGTATTTTCCTGTTTTCACATTTTGGGCGATGTCCCTTTTTTTAAAAAACATTTTTTTTATTGTTAATTCCTCTCATTGCCAGAAACTAAACCAGGTCTGAACTAGATCTAAACCAGGTCTAAACCAGGACTAAAACCAGGTCTAAAACAGGACTAAACCAGATCTAAAACCAGGTCTAAACTAGATCTAAACCAGGACTAAACCAGGACTAAACCAGGACTAAACCACAGGACTAAACCAGGACTAAACCAGGACTAAACCAGGTCTAAAACCAGGACTAAAACCAGGTCTAAACCAGGACTAAAACCAGGTCTAAACCAGGTCTAAACCAGGACTAAACCAGCACTAAACCAGGACTAAAACCAGTTCTAAACCAGCACTAATCCAGGATTAAACCAGGATTTAACAGGACTAAATCCTGCTGTGTGGACTGTGTCTCTTCTTCTATCAATAATATTTTTAATTTGGTTCAGTAAAGTCTGGGCTTTTTATTTTCTTTTAGCAGATAAAACTTCTTATGTTATGATTTCCTCGTCTTTGCTTCGCTACAGCAAATCAAGTAATCCAAAGTATTCAGATTACTTTACTCACTTTAAGTACTTTAATGGATTATGTTACAAACTACATTTTGGGGTATGTAATCTGTAATCTGTAGGGGAATACATTTTAAAAGTAACCTTCCCAACACTGCAAATGATGACATCACAAGGTGGAACAGAGTGCTTTGAGTTTGAAAGGAGAACCTGCAATAGTTCAGTTAAACAGATGGTACACTGGTGGTATGTGTGAAACGTTTTAGAACCAGATTTGATTCAGAAAACTAAAACTGGTATTTGTACGTAAAATCCCTCAGTCTGGTATTATACTTCAAAAATATATTAGTTAATAGTAAATGAAAATAAATAAAACTACAGAACTGTATACGTTAAGCAAATTCAAATTAATGAACATGTATTCAAATGTTTTTCCCCAGAACAAGTCGCTGAAACATCAGTTAATTGAAGCACAGGATCAGTGGGACTCATTGGACAAACAGCTGAATCTGTTCAAGACCAAAACAGTGAAGATTTCTCTGAGTCTGGATTTAAACAGTGGACCAAACATGAGTCTACAGGCAATGAGACAACTCTGCCACAGACTACAGGTGAGAACATGATTTATTTACTGTATTTTCCACACTATTAGTCGCTCTGGATTATAAGGCGCACTGTCATTAAATGGTCTATCTTCGAACTTTTTTCACAAATAAACCAGACTTTAAAGGAAACCCAACAGTGTGATGGGTGAGTGGTTTTGTTTGTTTGTTCGTTCACGGTGACTCTGGGCTTTGTTCAGTTGTGGCGTGTAGGGAGGGTGTGTCTGGGACCAACGGATTGTCGGCGTGTTCGCAGTGACTCAGTTGTTCAGTTGTGTCTAGAAGTGGCACATTGCACTCGCTTTTTCAGTTCGTTCCTCCGTTCTGTTCCTCGTCGGCGTGGAGTGATGAGTGTGTCTGTGGGTGTGTTTGGCTGTGTGGTCGCTGTCTGCTCCGTGTGTGTTTGTGTGTTCTGTGGGTGGTGTGGCTTTGTAGTTTACTGAAGTCGTGCTGGGACACCTGAGTGGATTTGTGTATAGGGCGCTCTGGATTGTGGGGCGTTCAGTTGTTTTTTGATGCGGTTGGAGGCTTAAGAGCGCCCCCTATAGTCCGGAAAATACAGTACATTGATCCATTGCAAATGTAGACCAAGAAAACCAGATGCCCATGCTTTAATCTATATCATATTTTCTATTGCCTAAATAAATACATTTAAAGGTGCATTGTGTAACTTTTTCTGATGGAGGGTCCATCACCTGCTTGTTTCTAGGAATAGGTCATTGCTCTGCCTGGAATGTTCCACAGTATGACATTACACAGCTCTACTTCACGGCTCCATCCACACTATTGTATTCGAGTTGTTTTCGTTGTGGATGCAGTGTTCGTTCACACTAATCCAACTGAAAACGGCTCCAGAGACGGAACGATTTGGTGCCTCCAGCTCCCACGAATTTGTTTAAGTACGGCTCTGAACCGGCACCATGTGGACGCCTGAAAACGTTGATACACTGATGTAGGTCTGTGCACCTCGAAGTAATTCACCGCCAAAACACTAAGAGACTAGAATATCTGTCCATTCATATAAACGTGTGTCTGTGTGTACGACCTGCAGACGTATAATCTCTGAAAAGTTTCACATGAACCATCTCCAACACGACAGAAACACAGAACAGACTCACCATCAGCAGAACACCCCTCTGTCACAGAGAGAACACTCATATTCCACTGAGTCATGTCCTTTAGTCCGACAGAAGCTGAACCACATCAGCAGCACAAGAACAAGCTGTTTCTTTGAGCACTGAGTTTATACAAATGAGTCATGCGGATTTAAGTTTGTTTCTGTAAAACATAAACAAATCTGCTCAGAGCTGTGTGGATAGGGAAGGATTGCGGACACAGAAACAACGTATCTGGATGCAGATCGTTTCTGATGTGGTGATACAGTGATACAGTGATTCGTTTCAGTCTAAATATAGTCTACATTTGTTCAATTACAGGTGGTTTTATTGCTAACCAAAAATACATAGAAAAACAGACATTCTGACTGTGAGCGGGGTCGCCTCTCCACAGATCTGACCTGTAACTTGGCCTGGTTTGGTCTCCATGAAGATAGAAAGGTTTAATGCCATACAGTGAAACATTCCAGACAAAACAATAATCCAATCCAATAACCTCCATGGGGAAAAGCATTTGACAGACTCAGTTTACTCTGCCCTGTGTGTTCTTGTACTGTTCATTACTGTAATTATATTTGTGTGTATTCTTCTCCTGTAGCTGGTCCATGATGAGCTGGAGAGTTCAGACTCAGACTGGGACGAACTTCTTCAAACTGAAGCCTCAGTGAAGGACCTGCTCCATGATTCTGCTGCTGCTCTCGTCACCATGGAGACCACAGCGCTCAGGCACAGGTCAGAGCTCAGACTTATCTACAGTTTATCTCCTGAACGACAGAGGGAGCGCTTTAAAGCTGCACTATGTAACTTTACGGCGGAGGATCAGTCACCAGCTTGTCACCATGGAGATGTTCTTGCTTTGCTGAGATTGTTCCACATTATAGCATTAAACTTATCTATCTTGCATTTATTCAATTATAGGAGTTTTATTGCCAGAAAATTCATTAAAAACATGAGTTGTTACCATGAATGGGACCACCTCTCCACAGACCTGTCTTGTAATTTGCCATGGTTGTATCATTTGCTTGTCTCCATTGATGGATGATTGACATTTTAAGTGTAATGCCATACTGTGGAACATTCCATGAAAAGCAATAACATCTCTGTGGAGACATTAGTTCATCTTTACTATTGATAAACTATTTTTACTATTGATAAATTTCATTTTTTGTTTTTGTTTTTTTTTCAGGTGGTCCACAGTTTCTGACTCTTTGAATAAGAAGCTCCAGAAAAGCCAGAGCGCCCTCTCTGTTTGGGAGAAATACCATCGACTCGCGGGTTCATTTTCTCAGAGACTGAAGACTCTGCAGAGTGAAGCATCATCTGTGATCAACACAACACAAACTGACAACACAGAGGAGCAGATTACTCTGAGAATGCAACGCACACAGGTGGGAAACATAATATCACACAATATCAGCATCAGTGCCAGCAGTATAAGAGGCCAGGCTACATACTGTTCAAATTTGCAATGAACTAAACAATTTAATTCAAATAATGTACGTTTTCCTACATTTGAAACAATGTGGCTCAAGAAAAAAAAAAAAAAATATATATATATATATATATATATATATATATATATATATATTTCAGTTCTCCATTTTAACATTTTTGATTTCAAACATCACAAATCTTAAACTTGGTGGGTTGTTGACAAGATTGAAAAAACATAAGTCATTTGGGTGTTTTACTTGGTTTTGTTTCAGGATTTGTTGTCCAGAGTTGACAGTTTGCAGAGTGACCTACACTTGATGTTAGATGCCTCTAAACACCTGACCTCTCACCTGGACACGCCCTCCTCTGCTCTCGTCCAATCAGAGACCAGGAGGTTGTCACGTGGTGTTCTGCAGCTGAACCAGGGTTTAAAACTGAAATTACAAATACTGCAGGTAATCTGCTCCTCTCCTCTGCTCTGACCCTCTGACCCTCTGACCTTTCCCTCTGCTCCTCTGACCTTCTTCTGTGCCCCTCCCCTCTCCTCCTCTGCTTCTCTTCTCTGCTCCTCTGGCCATACCGCCTGTCAAAGCCTGATCCCGTCAGATCTCAGAAGCTAAGAAAGGCCGGGCCTGGTTAGTACTTGGATGGGAGACGTCTGGGAAAATCAAGTGCCACAGTCGCAAAAAAAACTGTTGTTGTGTCCTTAGACGAGACACTTCACCCACATTGCCTAGTATGAAAGTGGTGTGTGTGTGTGTGATGGTGGTGGTCGGAGGGACTGATGGCGCTGATTGGCATGGCAGCCACGCTTCCGTCAGTATGCCCCAGGGCAGCTGTGGCTACAATAGTAACTTACCATCACCGGGTGTGGAGAAAAAGAATAATGAATCTATAAAATGCTCTGTAAAGCGTCTTTGTGACATATGTCAGTGAAAAGCGCTATATAAATAAAGACTTACTTACTCTCCTCTGCTATGACATAGGTTGAGTATTATCTATACGAGGGAATTCCAGCCTTCTTCCTCCTGTGAGCTACATTTTGTAAAACAAAACTATCAGGAATCTCATATTTGCAGTTGTAAGAAATGGAGTAAATATAATTGCCACAGCGTTAGATGGGAACAGTTGTAAACCATTCTCTATTTGTTAGTGCACATAATCTAGTCTACTTCTCTTTCTTTCTCCCTCTCGTCTGTCTCACCTCTCTGACCCACTTGTGTCTGACCTCTGCTTTGTCTCTTCTTACCTCCTACTGTCCTTCCTTCCCTCCCTCCCTCCCTCTTTCTGACCTGTCTGTGCTCCTGTTTGTGTTTACTCCTCATCCTCGTTTGTAGGAGGAGTTTCAGAGTCTGGGGCAGTTCTCAGCGTTACTGTCTGAGCTGGAGACGGAGCTGCAGCAGTGGGAGAGGAGGGCCCCAGCACAGACCCAGGTGAGTCAAACTATCAATGAACACATATGAAAGAAGAGAGGGGAGGAGCTGAGGTAAAGTGCATTTGACAGGGTAGACTCATTATTATTATATTTCAGAATCTGCTAAACATTTTTTAGCAATTTCACCCAAGTTTTGGCATTTTTGTGGTTTATAATTCCACTTTCTGATTGAAAATAATTACTAATATGGTCAGAAATCTAAATACTAAAACCAGTATTAACTCTTCAAACATCAACACATAAACAAATCACATAAATAGGGCAAAGTTGGACCTTTTCTGGACAGTTTTATAAAATTTATAGTCTTGATCTGTTTAAGAACTATTATAAAACCAGATTGTAATTTAAAAGAAGCTATTATTTTGTGTTATATTCAGTTTTGTGGTATCAGAATCTGTAATCTGCATTGTTCTTTATTGATTCTTGGTTAACTATATCTATATCTATATATATTTTTTATTTACATTGTCCGTTTTATTATATTGGGCTGGAGTTTTCATGTTTTTATCCTCCTGGTTCATCTCATCACATCACATCATCTTTGGTTCTCTCTTTTACATTGTGTATTTTAAATCTATTCTGTTCGTGTTTTTCCATTGATGTAGTAAAGTTGACCCAGTCCTCCTGACCCACATCTACTCACCTCCTCCTTAAGTCCCTCCCGCGTCCACCTGTGAGCGCTATATTTAAACACACACCAGTGACTGTTCTCCATCCAAATGAAAAAGAAGAAACATGTATTGTGTTTCCTAGTGCAGTTTGGATTCAGTGTTTTATTAGAATCCACCAGGGACATTTTAAGGACTAAAAGTTGTCAAAATATTATAAACAGTTGAACTTTTAATTGATGTTTGCAACAGTTAAACTGGATTCTAATACTCAGTATCACATTATTTCTAGACAATACTCTGCAATTTTCAACACAAAATAACATTAGTTTCATTGCTGTTATTGTGTGATCTTGTAGAAGTTCTGATATAGATCAAGATCATTGAACTGTTCAGGAAAAGTCCAACTTTGTCCTATTTATGTGAATTCTTTCTTCAGTTGAGAATCTCGCTTTCATACATTTCAGATAGTACAACCATACTTTGCATAAGACTATAAATAGCGAAACTAAACTGTGCTTGCATTTGTTAACTTGGCTATTGTACAATGTAATGAGAGTAAGAATCACTTAAAGTTCCCCTAGTACATTATTTTCTGATTTGATGTTTCCTCATTACAAAACAAAACACAACTCTAGGTATGTTTTTGACAAGGTAACTGCATTCTAACATGGTTTAAAGATCACAAGAGTTCATTTTGTGTAATATAGGACATTTACGGGCTTTCAGTAACAGTGTGATATTAAACATTTCCACTTTAATGACATATACTGTTATTGCACGTGGCACAGTGTCAGTTCATTCATGCTGTGTAAGCCCCGCCCCTTCCGACCCACATTCATTCATCCTCCGTCTAACCCTCTTACAGCACCTGTCGACTCTGCACCTGCTGCTGTCTGACCTGCCGTGTAACCGTGTGACGTGTTTGTTTTTCAGGGCGATGGTCAGGAGGCCAGTGCTCCCTCCTCAGACATTAGGGGGCGCTCCTCAGACCTGGACCTCCTGAATGAGCTGAGTCTGGGGGTGTGTCTCAGTGATGCAGAGGCCAATCGTCTCCTGAGACTGAACCAGAGCTGGAGCAGAGCCTGCAGCCGCCAGCAGGAGGCGCACAGGTGAGGACTGATTTAGACAGTGTAGAGTGAAGTTATTGTTACACACTGTGTAGTATGTTCATGTGATGTTAGTCCATATTAGTTAGTAAATGTTATTATCTCCTGTGTAATTCCAGTGCGATGCAGACGGGGGCGCTGAAGGGGCAGAGCTTTGAGCAGAGGTGTGAGAGCTGGATGTGCTTCCTGCAGAAGATGGAGGACAGTCTGGCTGTGGACGTGGCCGGGTCGTACCAGGGACTGAGGCATCAGCTCTGTACTCACAAGGTCCATATGATTATATCACTATGATTCACTCACTTCTGTGTTTTGATTAAAGGTACAGCACCTTAAAGCCTTGTATCCACAGGTTCAGTCTCAAAATTAATTAATGATTATTTACAGTTATATTGCGCCTTTCAAGACACCCAGAGCGCTTTACAGTTCTTTATTCATTCATTCCACACTCAGTGGAGGTAAGCTGCTATTGTAGCCACAGCTGCCCTGGGGCAGACTGATAGAACTGAGGCTGCCAATCTGCGCCATCGACCCCTCCAACCACCACCAATGCTCACACACACAACACTTTCATACTAGGCAATGTAGGTGAAGTGTCTTGACACAACAACACTTTTTACAACTGGCGCCCCCCTGTGGCTCCTGATTTTCCCAGAGGATTCACATCCAAGTACTAACCAGACCCGGCCGCTGCTGAGCTTCTGAGATCTGATGGGATCAGGCTTTGACAACCTGGTATGGCCACAAATCGTACAGCCCCGTTTGAGGAGTCTGAAGCAGATCCTGAGGGTTACTACTTTCCAAAGCGGTGCAGTTCAGTATAGTCTTCTTCAGTTCCAGGCTCGCCTAAGCTAAGGAGGAGCTGTGCACCACTGCCAGTTGTTTAGCAGATATAAACAGAAAATCTTTCACCAAATGCTTGATCTTTTGACAAAGTGCTGTATTTCCAGAGATGGCAACTTAATATATGTTGATGATATGTTCTGATGATGATATGTTGATATGTTTATCAGTGCACAGCACTCATGTTAAGATTGAAAATATGATATTTCCAACACATTTAACACCAGCCATGGCAAAGGTTTAACAGACTGTTGTATTCTCTTTTGGTTTCAGAGGTTCCAGGCTGAGCTCTCTGTGGGACATCAGATCCTCCATTCTGTGATCTCTGAAGCTCTGCACCTGCTGCACCGAGGAGAAGTCGACCACAGGTACAGATCCTGCTGCTATAACATGCCAATGACATACAGTACCGACAACAACATACAGTACCAGAACATACCAACAACAACATACCAACAACCAAACATTCTAGTTTATTCAGATTAGATCATTTCAAATGTGTATAGGTCAGGTATAGTTTGCTTTTAGTAAAATGTTCAGTATAATGTGTGTAACTTAAATTGTGTCAATAAAATAAACACTCACAATATTCAGAGTAATAGTTTGTGTTCACAGCCTTTTTCCTCTACTGTGTTTTCAGAGATGACTTCCTGTTGAAGCTGGCAGCTCTGCGTCAGCACTGGCAGGGGGCGCTGCAGAGAGCGGATCAGCGTCGCGCTCTCATCGAGGGGCTGGTCCGACACTGGCACCTGTACCACCGCACCACCCGAAAACTGCACCGCTTCTTGTCCCAAACCCGCGCTCTGCTGCCCCCCGCTGGACTGTCCCACTGCAGCCTCCAGGAGCTGCGCCGCTCACTGCTCCTCCTACAGGTGCACTTCAGAATAACAACAATTCTGAGAGGCCCCTCTTCTGTTCCTCTTTACACTTTGAATATTGAAATGTAGAGAAGGTTTCAGCCATAGACTGTATAAAGTAGTGGACTAAGGCTACGTACAGACTGCAGCCTCAAGTGACCCAAATCAGATTTTTTCTTCCCTATGCTCCTGTATCTGATCTTTTAATGAAAAATTTTTGAAATGTGGCCCAGGCCACTTGGATATGTGGTTGTGAAACCAATATATATCTGACCTTTTGACATGCAACTTCAGTTTGAATGGCCAGGTCACATTCATCCCACCTACACGTCAAAACAACACAGTAACAAGCACCTGTTGCGAGCCAATACAGCCCATTACCGACGTGTTTGCTCACTGATATAGGCCGCCGAAGACGTGTTTTCTCCTTCCTCATAAGTGTTACAAGTAGGTGCTCACAAATGTCCTTCTCATCAGACAAAAACTGTGTCTGAACTCCATGTGAGTGAAGCAAAGCGCATATCAATCCTTCCACTCTTGGCTGTGATTTCACACCCACATCTTCCTTTCTACGGACGTTGTTGCCACTGCCCCACAAGACACCACGGCCAAAAACCTCGTCCTTCTCCTTCTCAATCTCTTCCTTAAAACAAATCAGCTGTACATGTTCTGGCTCCGGTACAACAGCAACTTTAAATTCTCCAGGTGCTCGATGCCGTGTCCATGTTTAGGCCACTTCTGTAAACACAGAGCACGCTCGCTGTGGTTGATGTTGTCATGTCTCCAGTGCACATGTGGGACACTTTCAGGGCGTTTAAAGTTCACACTGGAGATCACATACAAGTCACATTTAAGTGGAAATGTTACCAACCTTGCAAAAAATCATATTTCACAAAAAAAATCTGTATTTAGCATTAAGCCCTGCAGTCTGAACATCGAGTAAATGAGTGTGACGTCACCCATAGAGTTCAGCTCCAGTCAAATGAAGCTAGGAGCTAATTTGGAGCAGAGTTCCATGTTAAGAACAGGAATATTTTTACTGACAAAATTACAAAAAATAGCCAACAAACGTGAGATTTTGGAGGCCCAGCGCCCCCTTTAATAAAGATACTCAATATTTGATAACAGTTTCAGAATCTACGACCAAGAATCTACAATAATACAAATTTTTTGCTTCCTATATAGCTCTATTTTTATGAAGTTCTGGTCTCTCAAACATGCTGATAAATTAAGGTTTCCGAAAATGTGAGCATGGCCCCAGAATTTCAGCGGGCCATAACTCGGGAACCACTCAAGGGATTGAACTAAAATTTGAGATTCTTTCCTTTGGTAATTTTAGAAATGTTTAGAATTTTTTCTGCCAAATCTGAAATGGCTCATAGGGGAGATTCCTTGAAAACAGCTTATTTCATACAGACTGACCCAAATAAAAACATCAGGATCATGTAGAGTGGGTTAATACGACTAAAATGACCTCCTGCAGCCGTCAAAGAGAGAGGGGCGAAAGTTTTTCAATGTAAAATGGAGCCAGAATTGCCCCCATGTCCACTTAATACTTGGACCGTGGCGGCTAGAGGCTTAGCTATGTCCATGTATATATACAGTCTGTGGTTTGTATGGTTTAATCTGAACACTGTTTTTACGGTCAAGATGTTCCTGCTCCCATTCAGAAGCTATTTTACATTTAATAGTACTGACTTACACACCAGAAATGTATCTTAGTCTAAGTCCAGCCCCAAAGGGAGGAGTTTAAGAGTGGACAGTGTCACTCTAAAACCTCTGAAACCTTCTCTACATTGAACCACCCCTGGATGAATAAGAGATTACTCCACCTCTGAAAATGATACTAGTGAAAATGATTTTTTATTGAATGTCCCCTGAAAATGTGCCTCACCTTTCTTGAGTTTCTTGGATTGGTTTCTTTTGCTGCTTCTTTTATATTCAGCTGCTGCATATCTTCAGTGCACAGCGGAAAAATAAAAAATCCGGTTACGTAAGGCATACAGATACTTACTCTATAATGACGTAATGCAAATAGGTAAGGGACACTTTATTGTACTGTAGGGAAATGTGTCCTCTGCATTTGACTCGTCCTTCAATGTCTCTGGGTTAAACCTGTCAGGTTGAGCTGGTCTTGGTCACGACTAATTTAGCTGGAGAATTGTGTGTATGTTTTGGGTAGCCTGATTCATCAGCCAGTTTCACTTTGTAGAAACCGTCTGATCTCGCAGTGTTAGAATTTGTTTGCTCGACGGTAGACGGGTACTTTTTAACATTTAACCAATCGCTGCTATTTGGTCGTCACGTATGTAATGCTCCGCTAACGGGGTTAACTGGTATATTAAGCTTTTCCCAAATCCTGTAGGAAGAAGGACAATAACGTCTTTCCCCTTGATAAAATTCACCAAACATTCTCTTTGTTCCGGCTTTAAATCCTCGATCTCGGGAATCGTTGACAACACTGAATATATGACTCTTCACTGATTGGCTGGTGCCTGAACTTGCACTTCTATGGTTTTTGCAAACCGTCTTTTGTATTTTGATTCCTGATCTAGTCACTGCAGAGAAATGAAATTGAGCGGAGGCACTAGGTGGTGTAAGTGTTTTGAGTTGACCTAAACATCAAAATTTAAGTCTGGCATATGAATAAACAATAATAATAACTTAACTTTTCTGGTGGAGGATCTGTCAGATTCTTTTTTCCATTGAGATGTTATTGCTTTGTCTGGAATGTTTCACAGCCAGGTCAAGTTACTGGTCAGATCTGTGGAGAGGCAACCCTGCTCTAGGTGTGTTTGAGCTATAAAACCACCTGTAATTGAATAAAAGTAAAGAAGAGCTGTTTAATGTCACACTGTGGAACATTCCAGGCAGAGCAGTGACATATCTGTGGAACCAAGCAGGTGACAGACGCCCAACCAAAAAGTTTACAATAGTGCACCTTTAAATTTGTGAAACTGATGAACATCTTCAGCTGATTGAGTGTTGTAAATGGCTCTATAAATAAAGCTTGTTTGATTGATTGACTAATATTAACATCACAATTCTTCACTAAACATCAGCCTTTAATCAATCTGAACCAAAACCCCAGAGTCATTAAGAGCCCCCTCCCTGGATAACGATGCATTTCCTTGTTGTTTGTAGCACACGGAGGTGAAGTTTGAGCAGTACCAGAGCAGTTTCTTCCACACTCTGGAGGTGGGACGACAGCTCTTCTCGATGGGGGACCAGGAGACCCAGGCCCAGCTGCAGACGGAGCTGGGGACGCTGCAGCACGAGTGGGACAGTCTGCACGGGCTCCTGGCCAAAAGGATGGACCTCACCGGGGACATCATCAAGGTAAAACTCCACTTAGATTAGAACAGAGGTTTGTTTTACTGCATTATATGAGGTCGTAAACATGGGATTTATCTGAACATGGTACATTTAGCCACAAACTTAAACTTTTAATCCTTCCTATTTTCCTGTCTTGGAATGGTTCTTAAATCCTTAATATCAATATGTTTCTGTGAACCAAAATTGCACGACAAAAAAAACATTGGTTAACACTTTTATTTTATTTTATTTGTTAATTAGTTCAATAATAGCTCGTGTCTACACAACAACTGATTAGCAGTGACTTCTGTTACTAAGCTGTTTTGAGCAGAATTCTAAATGAATGAAAAGCATTTATGTAATTGCCCCTGTCTGGAAAAAAATATACACCAACATATGCACAAATATAAGTACATATGGATACCAGTGGGAGTTTGTATTACTGGGTTTCAGATGACATCACTACTTCCTCTAGGCCAGAGGTGGGCAGCTACTTTTTCCATGTAAGAAACAGAAAATATTGTGGAGGACCAGGCCAAAATGCTTAATTCAATTCTGAATAATATTAATTGTATTTCTTTATAAAAAGCAGCAAATATCATTGTTTTCATGAGCTGCTCAGACTGATAAGAGTTTATGTTTGACTAAGCAATGAAAAAGTGAAGTTGCCTTACAAAAAATATCATTTAAAAAACACCTCTAAAATAAATGCAATGCAGCTTTAGTTCATGCATGAGGTCAAATGATAAAATATGTTTATTTTGTCATTCCAAATGAGCTTAAATGGTCCGGTCAGAGTCAACCAAAGGCCTGTATGTGGCCCTGGAGCTGTACAATACCCAGGTCTGATCTAGGCCAATCATATTTAATACAGAATAGAGGATATAAAAAGAATACAAATAATAATAAAAGCTGCCATCTTTGATTACACAGGCTGACACTTCCCGGTTGTATTCTCACATATCACCACTAGATGCTGTCTGACAGTGGTAACAAAAAATCTAATAAAATAAACATACAGGTGGAAGCTTTAAATCAGGAGAGTCAAACTCAAATTGACAGAGGCCAAAATGAAAAACTGGGACTAAGTCTTGAATCAAACTAAATATTATTGAATCATTTTCAAGTAACATCTGCATGTTTTCTCTTCTTTCGAGATCTGTAATGTTAAATCTTTTCTTATTAAAATAAATGTTTAATAATAGTTTTGCTTAAACACTGAATCCAGAACAAACAGAATATAAAATAATAACCAAATTTTAAATAAATATTGTCTCTATAGTCGATCTGTAGCTGGTGGGCAGCTCTAATACAGATTTGATATGATCTTGCGGGTCAAATATAATTATATCACGGGCCAAATTTGACCCCCGGGCCTGAGTTTGATATGTTTGCTTTAAATGAATATTGTTATAACTCAGTGTTTTGTTGTAATACAGGGAGTTCTTTCCTCTGAAATGATCAGGTTATTTAATTATAATGCAATCAATAGGAAAATCTGTCTCTTGCTCCCTCTTTTGAAGACAACACCTGTCTATAATGTGTGCTCATACACACACATGGATCCTATAGAAATAGGAAAAAAGAGGAAACTCCAGGTGTCTTCTGTCAAACGTCTGTAATGAACCTAAATTTAACCAGAGGCTGTGGATATTTCAATAAAAGCTTCACTATTTCACCCTGAACCTGATCCTGTTCCTGTCTGTACATCTGGACCAGGCTCCTATACTTTTACTTTTGTCCCATTTGTCCTGTATTCTCTGGAGTTTTGACGGTTTTGTCCCTCGTGCCCTCGAGCCTCGCACTCTGTCCACTCAGGTTGCTGTTAAATTCTCAGTAACAGGAGCTGATCCCAGACAATCCCATGACTTCATCCTGAATGAGCCCACATCACAACAGAAACTGGAGCTTCAGTTACATACAGAGATCTGATCTGGGACTGTGGGCTCAAGTGTTCACATGTCTAAAACGAGCAGCAGTCCATTTATAAAGACGGGTATCAGGGAGGGCATCTGACATTAAAAACATCCAGATAAATATTTGTAATGAAAGGTGCACTTGGGCTTGTATCCATGGCGATGTTATTGTTCTGCCTGGAATGTTCCCTGTTGGCATTAAGCATCTATATCTCACATTTATTCATTTACACATGTTTCATTTGGCATAAGATCATTTGAAAAACCTGCATTCTTACTGTGAGGGATCGCCTCTCCACAGATCTCACCTGTAACTTGACCTGCTTGTCTCCATTAGGGCTGTGCAAAAATACTGAAATATTGATGTATCGTATTGTTTAATGTGATGATACAGTATCGATATCGTGGGCTGCTGTATCAATATAGCACCAAGAGTATTTTTTGGTATATTTTACGAAATTATTTAGTTACAGAGCTACAGTTTTGTTGCTTGGAAACTCGTTTATGTGACACCTTTGACATTTTCATGGTTTTGATGATTAAAATGTTTGTGTTTCATATGAACTTTGCACAAGTAGTGGTTTAACAAAGACTTTTAGTATCACAGACATGATTTAGACTTTATTTTTTATTGAACTATATCGAATCGCTTTGAAATATATCGTATCGAATCGGAAGTGCACTGTATCGAGATATGTATCTGTTACGACCCAGCTCGTTTGGGGTGAGGGAAGTAACAAAAATAAAAACCAAGATGTAAAATGGAATAAATTAAATAATGTTTAATTAACAGGAATGTAAAGGTAAATTAACAAAAGACTAAAAATATACAGAAAGCAACCTAACCTAAGAAACAGAACAACAGAATAAACAGAGTTTTGTGCCAGAAAAGGGGTCACGCAGGCTTACACAAAAACGAGTGGTAAAACTTAGGGACACACACTAAACTAAACACAAGTTCCCCAAATTAAACCACATAAACCCACAAACAGAATCGAGTGACCACATCAAAAAAGGCACAAAACAGAACTAAACTAAACACACAAACACAAAATGGCAGACTGACCACCAAGGCCAGCAGCCCCGAACAGGTGCTGTAATGTCTCGACCAGGGCCCCTGTAGCAGGAATCCAGGTGTGTCAGACTCATTTAGAACACACACAACAAATTGGAACTAAGGCCTGGGGCCTGGGGTATCTGCAACTTCTTAATGATACCAGCCCTAGTCTCCGTGGAGAAAGATAAGTTTCATGGCAGTTTAGATTATTTAAGGAATATATGACTGAATATATGAACAGTGTTGGGAGTAACACGTTATAAAAGTAACGAATTACTGTAATACATTGCTTTTTGCTGTAACGCAGTAATGTAAGGCATTACAGGGAAAAATTTTTTATATTTTACTCGGTACAAATGTGAGTAGCGACAGCGAGTCCTGTTATAGTCCTAGTTCAGTCCTGGTTCAGCTCTGGTTCAGCTCTGGTTCAGCTCTGGTTTAGTCCTGGTTTAGACCTGGTTTAGTTCTGGTTCAGTCCATATACGGCACAAAAGTTCACCATCTTCGCTGTTATTTTGGTGAGAGTAACTTAAAGTAATGCAATAGTAATGTAAAGCCTTACATTTTAAATGCAGTAATATTGTAATGTAACGAATTACTTTGAAAGGACAGTAATAAGTAATAAATAACACATTACAGTTTTAAAGTCACTTGCCCAACAGTGTATATGAAGTATTTGATTTTTTTTGTTCATGTTACTGTTATTACTACCATAGTTAAAGTCGCAACTTTTCCAGAGTTATTCAGTTCAATTCGATCTTTATTAAGAGCACGTAATATCTGGTTCAAAAAATTTAAAAGAAAATAGTAAAAATTTAAAAATTTAAATATAGTGCATGTTATAATGTATACAGTTTCTGTTTTGCCTGGAAAGTTCCACAGTATGGCATTAAACATAACCATTGTATTTGTTAAATTACAAGTATTTGCTCAAAAATACACTGGAAAAACATACTGCAAGTGGCTCGCCCCTCCACAAATCTGACCTGTAATGGATAGTAGGGATGTAACGATATCTAACTCTCTCAGTACAATATTATCACGATATGCATCTCACAGTACGATATTTATTGCGATATTTTGGAGAAACTGATATAATTGTAGATGGTAAAAAACATATTTCTTCATGTTGTTTGTGCTGAAATGAATCATGGGATATGTAGTTTTTAATGTTCATAAGATGTTGCTACTATAAAACCTTGCATTTCAGTAAAGGAACTTGTAATTCGATATATTGTGACAGCCCATGATTTTATTGTGAGACTTTTGCCGATACGATATCATGATATTTGGGTTATTGTTACATCCCTAATGGATAATGATAAGGTAAATGCCATAGAGTGGGACATTTGTGGCAAAGCTATGAGATCTCCATGGAGACAAGCACCAGTAGATGTTCCCACTAGAAAAGTGGTATAATCAGTGTTGGGGAGTAACAGATTACATGTACCGGAGTTATGTAATCAGAGTACAAATTATGAGTACCTGTATTCAGTTACAGTTACTGTTTCAGTGAGTGGTAATTGGATTACAGTTACTTTGTTGAAATAATTGTATTACACAGTGGTATTTTCCTGTTTTCACATTTTGGGCTATTCCCTTTTTTTTTTTTCTCAGTAATTCCACTCAGTGCCGGACACTAAACCAGGTCCAAACCAGGTCTAAACCTGGTCTAAAACCAAGTCTAAACTAGGTCTAAACTAGGTCTAAACCAGGACTAAAACCAGGTCCAAACCAGGTCTAAACTAGGTCTAAAAGAGGATTAAACCAGGATTAAACCAGGTCTAAACCAGGACTAAACCAAGACTAAACCAGGTCTAAACAGGATTTAACAGAACTAAATGCTGTGTGGACGCGTCTCCTCTTCTTCTATCAATAATATTTTTAATTTGGTTCAGTAAAGTCTGGACTTTTTATTTTCTTTTAGCAGATAAAACATTTTATGTGAAGATTTTCTTGTCTTTGCTTTTCTACAGCAAATCAAGTAATCCAAAGTATTCAGATTACATTACTCACTTTAAGTAATTTAATGGATTACATTACAAACTACATTTTGGGGTATGTAATCTGTAATCTGTGGAGGAATACATTTTAAAAGTCACCTTCCCAACACTGGGTATAACTAGATATAAGCAGATCAGAAATGCACAGATAAATAATGCCAGTTTTGGCTCTGACCTCTTTATGTTAAATCTCAGGTAGAACAAACAGTGATGCAACACTCAGACATTTTAATCCTAAACTTGAGACATCTGCTCTGCTCCATCTGTCTCTGCCTTTTTATAGTTCGCAGGTGTAATCCTCATTCGCTCACACAGGTACCACTCACCTAAACCACTCAATGCTTCATCAAACACACAAGATTTATATAAACCTCTCTTTGTCTCCACGAGCTCTTCTTATTCTGTGAAAAATGTGCTGATCCTGCAGTTTACACCTCTGCAAACATGTTCTAAAATACATGGGATTCTTATATTTTTGTAATTCTTTATTTTTCTCTTTTTTTTTTAAGTATGAAAAAGACAAATACAATACAACCTGCGGGTGTGCCTTGATTCTCACAAAGGATGGATTAATTAAAAGAAAAATAATAATAATAATAATGAATAATAATTATTACAGCCAATTGCAAGAAAAACAAAGTAATGGGTCAAACAAAGTCCGGTCTCACAGTATTTATATATTCAATTCACCGTTTCCATTTGCTTTCAAATTTGTCTTGTTGCAGTCTTATGCTAAAAGTAATTCTCTCCATCTTAAAAATATCATAAACAATCTCAAACCGTTCATCCAGTGTTGGTACTTGTGGACAGTGTTGGGAAGGTGACTTTTAAAATGTATTCCCCTACAGATTACAGATTACATACTCCAGAATGTAGTTTGTAATGTAATCCATTAAATTACTGAAAGTGAGTAACGTAATCTGAATACTTTGGATTACTTGATTTGCTGCTGCTAAAAGGAAATAAAAAACCCAGACTTTACTGAACCGTATTAAAAATATTATTGATAGAAACGAGGAGATACGTCCACATGAACTGTTTAGTCTGGTTTAGATCTTTAGATCTAATTTACTGTTTCAGTTTAGTCCTGTTTAGTTTAGAGTTTAGATCTAGTTTAGATCAAATTTAGTCCTGTTTAGTCCTGGTTTAGTCCTAGATCTAGTTTAGATCTAGTTTAGATCTAGTTTAGTTTTAGTCCTGTTTCAGTTTCAGTCCTTTTCAGTCCTGTTTGTTTAGTTTAGTCTAGGTTTAGATCTGTTTAGATCTAATTTAGATCTGGTTTTAGTCCTGTTTAGTCCTGGTTTAGTCCTATTTTAGTCCTGTTTAGTCCTTTCAGTCCTTTTTAATCCTGGTTTAGTTCTGGTTTAGTTTTAGACCTGGTTTAGTCCTGTTTAGTCCTAGTTTAGACCTGGTTTAGACCTGGTTTAGATTAGTTTAGACCTGGTTTAGTTCCGGGGGGGTAAACTTAGTTTCCTTGAAAACAGGGAAAAATTACCGCTGTGTAATCCATTTATTTCAACAAAGTAACTGTAATCCAATGACCACTCACTGAAACTGTAACTGTAACTGAATACAGTTACTCATCATTTGTACTTTGATTACGTAACTCCAGTACATGTAATCTGTTACTCCCCAACACTGTTTGTGGATTAAGCCATTTCCTGGTTATAGCTTTCCTAGCAGCCGCACTCAAAATCTGGAAGAAATACATGGGATTCGTACATTTTTGTAGCAGTTAAGATGGTCCGTTTAGGCCTGTGGTCTTGGTTTGGTCCTAGTGTAGTCCTGGTGTGGTCTTGGTTTGGTCCTTGTGTAGTCCTGGTGTGGTCTTGGTTTGGTCCTTGTGTAGTCCTGGTGTGGTCTTGGTTTGGTCCTTGTGTAGTCCTGGTGTGGTCTTGGTTTGGTCCTTGTGTAGTCCTGGTCTAGTTTTGGGTTTAGTCCCAGTTTTAATGTGGCCAATTATGAAGGTTCCTGGATTATGACCTGAATGTTGATTTTAAGTCATTTTTAGTATGTCACAGATATAAGTACAATTTGTCTTTGTAGATAAATACTAAGAAGCAACTAAGAAAATAAATAAGTTAATTAAATAATAATAATAAAATAAAATGTATTTACTTACTCTTTGCTTGTCTCTGATTGGTCAGAACTGGGAGCGCTGTGAAACCGGACTGACCAATAGCACGCGTCAACTGAAGGACGTGAAAACCAGACTCAACCAATCACTGCCCGAGTGTGACGAGGATCTACAGAAGGAGGAGCAGTTTATCAAGGTAAATAATAACTTTTGGTGTAGTTTGATTAATTAGTAATATCAGAATTCTGTTTTGTGCATTGGGATTTTTATAACTGTCTTTCAAAATCAACTTTCTACTATGTTTCCTCATCAAAAACATGCCTGAAGAGGTTTTAGATGTCATCCATGTATGTCTGAGTAATTATTCAAACCCCCCTTATGGTTACCTGTAAGATTCTGTACAAGGCCCCGCCCACAAGTCTACATCACCCATACTCCCATGACAATTCTCCATAAATATACAAAAACATGATACAAAACTGTGACAACAACTTCACAAACCTGATGTGATGTGCTGTAGATTCATTAGCAGGATGCACGCTGATGTGTTGTGATAGTGCTCTGAAGGGGGAGTGACTTAGTGTGTTAGTCCTGCTTTAAGTCCATTTCTAGACCTGGGTTAGTCCTGATTTTACTCCACTTTTAGACCTGAGTTAATTCTGGTTTAAGGACAGTTTTAGACTTCGGTTACTCCTTATTTAACTCCACTTTTAGATCTGGGTTAGTCCTGGTCTAACTTCACTGTTAGACCTGGGTTAATTCTGGTTTAAGGACAGTTTTAGACCTCAGTTAGTCCTTATTTAAGTCCACTTTTAGACCTGGGTTAGTCCTGCTTTAACTCCAGTTTTTGATCTGTGTTAGTCCTGGTTTAAATGCAGTTCTGGACCTGGGTTAGTCTTGGTCTAACTCCAGTTTTAGACCTGGGTTAGTCCTGGTTTAAGTACAATTTTAGACCTGGGTTAGTCCTGGTTTAAGTACAGTTTTAGACCTGGGTTAGTCCTGGTTTAAGTACAGTTTTAGACCTGGGTTAGTCCTGGTTTAAGTACAGTTTTAGACCTACGTTAGTCCTGGTTTAAGTACTGTGGTTAAATCCTGGTCTTGCTCCTGTTTTAGACCTGGGTTAGTTCTGGTTCATATCTGGTTTGGGTCCTGGTTTCATTCTTGTATTAATCTTGGATTCATCCGGGTTTAGTCTTGGCCTAGACCTGGTTTAGTTCTACTTTAGTCATGGTTTCATTCTTGTTTTAGACCCGGATTAGTCATAGTTTAGTCCTGGTTTAATCTTGAGGTAGATCTAGTCCTGATTCAAGTCCAGTTTGAGACCTGGTTTAGTTCTGGCTGATTGTGTTGTGATAATGCTCTGAAGGGGTGAGTGACTTAGTGTGGAGAGCAAAGGGACGAGGAGCATCAAAAAACAACTAATTACACACATTTTACATTATTTTTGGTGAATATAACTTTTTCCAAACAATAAAAGGTGACATGGTGAACTAAATATGTCTCCAGTGATTAAAGGTCATTATTATAAACATAGTAAATAAGTGTAGTTGTTATCTTGTTACAGGTATCGTTGAACTGCACGTGTTAAAGTTAATGTTTGACTGTTGCTTTCAGCCTGATCAGCTTTCTGCTTCTAATCTTTGGTCCCACTAATCTACAATACAAGATCACTATCACAGACCCACTTCTGTTTTTGTTTCTCTGCTTTATTTTAGGGCACATTTAACATCTGAAGTATCTGCTATTTGCATATTTATAAGTTGTTAATGTGGTGATAACTTCTGCATTATTTATTCATTTATTTATTTTTTATTTTATTTATTTATTTTATTTCTTTATTTGAGACAGGGACAGTGCACAGTTTTTGCATTCACCTTGACAGGAGAGATGTTTGTACATCAGGTTGTAGCAGCAGTGTTCATTTCCACCTGTCGTCCCTGGGCAGGCGTCGTCAGCTGTTCTTCCTGGAGCCTGTGTAGCAGGTTTTAGGTTCATTATCTTATTTGGCTGTTCATTTCACATTAATCTAACATTTTCCTAGTAACTAAAGGTCCTCTATTACGCAAAATAGACTCTTATGAGCTTTAAGTCATTATATAATGTTGTTACTTCATCAAAAACAGACCTGGAGTTGTGTTTTGTTTTTTCTGTTTATACCAGGGGTGTCCAAACTTTTCAAGGGCCACATTTCTAAACACAGATGAAGCAGAGGGCTGATCGAGGGTCACAGACTGATGCTCAATACAGTGAATAATTAAACTGTGTGCATGTTTATCACGTTAGAATGAGCCATCAGTCTTTATTCATGTTATGATTCTTAAAACCACACACTAAATATGAAATATGAGCTTTATCAAGGTAGATTTTCAAACAACTTGCAGTAAACAGTTCATTTTTCATTGATGCAAGGTCATCTGGGCCAGTTCTCCTGGAAGCCTGTCTGAGGGCCGCATTTGGCCCACGGGCCATAGTTTGGACATGCCTGGTTTACACGTTTAATAACCCTGCATTATCAGTCTGTCTACATCTCCAAAGTTCAAAATGCTCTTTTCCACCTTGTGATGTCATGAAGTTAACAGCTACATTTAGAGCTGTAGAGATCAGCAAGTCCAGCTGTGAAATGATCCAACAGAGTGAAGCACTTCCTGTATTACCATATGACATCACAAGGTGGAACAGCGTGTTTTCAGTTTGAGAGAAGAACTCAGCCTAAATATGTAGCGTTTGTGTGTCAAATGTGTGAATGAAATAAAACACAACTCCAGGTCTGTTTATGATGAGCAAAGAACATTAGAACATAGAGTAGATCACAAAATCACATCATATGAACCTTTAACTGTTCTTACTTCTTATGGTCCTGTAGGTGTTTGATCATTAGAGTGTCGTTAAGGGTTAGTGCCAGAAATGTACTTTTCACATGTTAAAATAAACATTTTCAACAGAGATAAGATGAATGTGTATCTAGTGTGTATTTAGTGTGTATTTAGTGTGTATTTAGTGTGTAGCCTTTAGCAAATGTTGTAAGTACCTTGTATTTTCTCAAACAAACCCTTTACCAAAGGTGTGGTGTCCTGTGCTTTAAATAGACGTGTATTTACTTAATGACGCCCCAACACTGACCACAAAAGAGCAACTTAGTCAAAAATATGTTCTGAGCTGAGATTTCAGTATTGTATGTAAAGTACACTACTCTTTAAGTAATGTTTAAACCATAATGAAGGAAGATTATCACACCAAAACTGTTACTGTTACAAAATCAGTAAGTGTCCTGAATGTTTAAAGGTCCTACATTACCTGACTTTAGTTTAGTTTAGTTTAGTCTGTATTTGAATGGACAATGTACAGAAACATTCAACTCATAAAAATCAGAGATGTTCCACTCCAGATTATAACTAAATATCTCAAATCAAATCTCTTGTGAGCTTTAAATCATGTTCTAATGCTGTTCAAAAACACACCTGGACTTTGTTTTGTTTGTTGTCTTTTGAATAATCCTGGATTATTACGCTGTCTACATCTAAAATGCTCTGTTCCCACCTTGTGATGTCATGAAGTGGTAGTTCTCAAGTAACCAGCTACATTTTACCTTTAGTTCAGTACAGATGGGTCATTTCTGAACTGAACTCATCCAGATGATTCTAGTGAAGCTGTGTGGAGTAATCAGTGTTGGGGAGTAACAGATTACATGTACCAGCGTTATGTAATCAGAGTACAAATTATGAGTAACTGTATTCCGTTACAGTTACTGCTTAAATGAGTAGTAACTGGATTACAGTTACTTTGTTGAAATAAATGGATTACACGGCAGTATTTTCCTGTTTTCACATTTTGGGCTGTATCCCATTTGTATTTATTTATTTTTTATTTCGGTAATTCCATTCATTGCTGGAAACTAAACCAGGACTAAACCAGGTCTAAACCAGGTCTAAACCAGGACTAAACCAGGTCTAAACCAGGTCTAAACCAGGTCTAAACCAGGACTAAACCAGGACTAAACCAGGACTAAACCAGGACTAAACCAGGTCTAAACCAGGACTAAACCAGGTCTAAACCAGGTCTAAACCAGGACTAAACCAGGTCTAAACCAGGTCTAAACCAGGTCTAAACCAGGACTAAACCAGGACTAAACCAGGACTAAACCAGGTCTAAAACCAGGACTAAACCAGACTAAACCAGACTAAACCAGGAGGTCTAAACCAGGACTAAACCAGGGACTAAACCAGGACTAAACCAGGTCTAAACCAGGACTAACCAGGACTAAACCAGGACTAAACCAGGACTAAACCAGGTCTAAACCAGGTCTAAACCAAACCAGGAAACCAGGTCTAAACCAGGTCTAAACAGGTCTAAACCAGGTAAACAGGACTAAACCAGGTCTAAACCAGGATTTACCAGGACTAAACCAGGACTAAACCAGACTAAACCAGGTCTAAACCAGGTCTAAACCAGGTCTAACCAGGATTTAACCAGGTCTAAACCAGGACTAAACCAGGTCTAACCAGGTCTAAACCAGGTCTAAACCAGGTCTAAACCAGGACTAAACCAGGTCTAAACCAGGATTTACCAGGTCTAAACCAGGACTAACCAGGTCTAAACAGGTTAAACCAGGTCTAAACAGACTAAACCAGGACTAAACCAGGTCTAAAACCAGGTCTAAACCAGGATTTACCAGGACTAACCAGGACTAAACCAGGTCTAAACCAGGTCTAAACCAGGACTAAACCAGGTCTAAACCAGGTCTAAACCAGGTTAAACCAGGACTAAACCAGGACTAAACCCAGGACTAAACCAGGACTAAACCAGGCAGGTCTAAACCAGTAAACCAGGACTAAACCAGGACTAAACCAGGTCTAAACCCTAAAACCAGGTCTAAACCAGGACTAAACCAGGTCTAAACCAGGACTAAACCAGGACTAACCAGGTTCTAAAACCAGGTCTAAACCAGGACTAAACCAGGTCTAAACCAGGTCTAAACCAGGTTCTAAACCAGGTCTTAAACCAGGTCTAAACCAGGTCTAAACCAGGTCTAAACCAGGTCTAAACCAGACCACTAAACCATAACCAGGTCTAAAACCAGGTCTAAACCAGTCTAAACCAATTACCAGGTCTAAACCAGGACTAAACCAGGTCTAAACCAGGTCTCTAAACCAGGTCTAAACCACTAAACCAAACCAGGACTAAAACCAGGTCTAAACA